TGAGTTCCTCTGTAACTTTCTGCTGTTGCTTATTTACTATCAACATTATTAATTAATACATTTGAGCCGAGCTAGTGTCCTCTGCACTTGTTCTGGGTGGGCATTGGGTTTCCTCCATATGTTTCTGCATTTGATTCTTTACTGCGCATGTTATTAATTCAGGGATTTCTTTTTTCATTTCCAATCTGAGTTCCTCTATACCTTTCTGCAGCTGTTTCTTTATTTTAGAAGCTGTTGATTTATTGCTTTCAGCTGTGTGATTCCCAGTTTGTTCTTTGTTAGTGTCCTCTGAGCTTATTACGGGTGGGCTTGGGTTCTGAGATTGCATTTTGCTCCTTCTTGTTGTCATTTTGTGTAGCACTGTCTTCTGACCTTTGTTGTAGATCTTTGTTGCAGTTATAACGTTACCACCTACTGAAGTTCAGGTGCAGATCTACAAAGTTTGGATTTATCCAGTTGTGCCTGGCTTGGGTCTGAATGTGTGCTCAGCTCCTTCCTGCTGCTGCCCTTGGGGGTGAACCTGTTGTGCCCCTCTGGCAAGATGTTCTGCTCCTGGAGTAGCTAGGTGGTTCTTTCCCCTACACTCTCTGCAGGGATTGCAGCTGCAGGGTTTCACCCCAGGCCTGTGTGCTAGGCCTGAGCTGAGTCTGGAGGGGGCAAGGTGGAGTAGGGGTAGAGGCAGCTCTCCCACACACTCACCAGGCCTGGAGTAGGAGTAGATCTGGGGGTTCCTGGAACAGAAAAGAAATTCCTACTCTGTGCGCAGGTTGTGTGCATGTGTGAGGTACAACGGAGTGATGCGGGGTGTCCCATGTGGGTGAAAATGGGTGTCACCCACGCTGCACCTGGTCTGGGACCAGTAGGTCCCGTCGGCGCAGGTTAGCCAGAAGCTCTCCCACACACTGACTGGGCCTGGACTAGGACTAAGTCTGGGGGTTCCCGGAACGCGACTGAAATTCTTACTTGGCGGTCGGGATGGAGGAGGTGCTGTGGAGTGGTGGGTGGTGTCCCAAGAGGGTGGAAGATGGTCTCACCCACGCTGCATCTGGGCTGGTTCCAGTAGGTTCCTCTGGCACAGGGTAGCCAGAAGCTCTCCCTGTAGCATGTTTTCTTTACATGATGGTCACATGTAAAATCCTTACCTTCTTCCCAGTATTTTATTTTATTTTTTTAATGTGTGTGTCCAATTTATTTCACTTGAGTGTGGTCTCAAGGTGCATGAATCTCTCAGGGTTATCCCTCTTGAGAGTGGCACAGTGATACTACTCCATTGTATTAAAAAAAACATATCTTCCTTTAGCCATTCTTAGGTTGATGAACATTAGGGATGTTTTCAAGGTTTAGCTACTACAGACTGCTGGTATCAGCAGGAGCCTGCATATATCACTGTGGTATGGTACTTTTAATTCTTTCAGGAAGATACCAAAAAGGGAAATAGGTAGGAACCTAAGGGGAAGGGGAATATCAAATGGAACCTTTAGTTTTAGTTTTTTGAAGAATCTCCACACTGATTTCCACAGTGGTTGCACCAGTGTACACTTCAGCAGTGAAGAAGGATTCCTATTTCCCCACAGCCCCTCTAGCTTTTGTTATTGATTTCTTGAGGATAGCTATTTGTTCTGGAGTGAGATGGAATCTCAGCATTGTTTTAATTTGTATCTCTTGAATGACCAGTTATGTTGAACATTTTTTCTATATTTGTTTGTTGTTCATCTTAGAAGTGTATATTCATCTCAGCTGCCCATTTCTGGATCTATTATGTTTGGGATTTCTGATTTTTTTCGAGTTCTCTTTATATCCTAGGTAGTAGTACTTTACCTGAGGGACAACTGGCAAAAAATTTTCCCTGCTCTGTGGGTTGTCTCTTCACTCTGTTGGTGGTTTCGTTGGTTGTTGAACCATCCCTGCTTTCCTGGGATGAATCCTATTTGGTCATGGTGCATAATCTTGATGGTTTGCTATATTGTCTGTTTGCCAGTATCTTATAAGGATTTCTGTGTCTATTTTCATTAGGGAACTTGGCCTGTAATTCTCTTTTTTAAATTGGATCCTTTCTGGTTTTGGTATCAGAGTAATGTTTGCTTCTAGTAATAAATTTGGGAGTACTGTTTTTCTTTTCATTTCATTCAAGGATTTGAGAAGTACTAGGTCTTCCCTAAATTTCTTGTAAAATTCAGCAGTGAATGCATCAGGGCCTAGGCTTTTCTTTGTTGGTAGATTTTTAAGTACATCTTCATTTTCATTGAATGATACTGGGTTATTTAGAATTTTTGTGTCTTCTTGATTTAGCTTTGGTAAATCATATGTAGGTAGGAATCTGTCTATTCTGTGTTTTCTATCTTCCTAGAGTATAGGTTCTTGAATTAAGTACTCATCTTCTGGATTTCTGCAGGATCTGTTGTGGATTTTACCCTTTTTATTTCTTTTCTTTTCTTTTCTTTTTTTCTTTTTCTTTTTGTCAGAACTGGGAATTGAACTCAGGCTCTTGCGCTTGCCAGGGAAGCACTTATTCCACTGAGCCATCTCCCCAGCCCCCTTTTTATTTCTTATTACATGGATTTGAGTCTTTTCTTTCCTTTTTCTGTTAGGGTTGGCTTGACATCCACTTTGTAAGCAAATGAAATACCTACCCCTTCTTTTTGCTGGGCCACAGGGAGTGTTATGTTCCATCTTTTGACCTTTCAGTCTGTGAATTTTTTTTTAATTTTTTTTTTAATTTTATTTTATTTTTCTTGTGGAACCGGGGATTGAACTCAGGCTCTTACACTTGCCAGGCAAGCACTTATTCTACTGAGCCATCTCCCCAACCCAGTCTGTGAATTTTTTACTGCTATGTGAATTACTATATCAAGGACTAGGAACAAGAAAATATTTTTAAATGTTGACCTTTAAATATGACCTTTTATGAGCTTTTGGAGCATATAAAGTACATGTATACATTATATTCTAGATGTTTAGCTGTTGCCTTAAAGTTACTTTATGAAACAGTTCAGATTTTTAAAAGAATGGATGCATTAGCATCACAAGTTTGTTGACCGTCACTTTCTTCTGTTCTTTGTAGTTCTTAGTTACCCTGTTTAGATGAGCATCGGACTGTGGTAGTAATGTCTAACCCTCTTTAAACTCCTGTCTTAAAGTACAGAATTACCTAATCATTAGGAAGAATTATATTCATTTTATTTACACTGCCTAATAGAGGGGCTACTAAACATGGGAGTGTTGAGTGCCTAAAATATGGCTGGATTGAGATGTGACATACATACTGTTATGGGGATATCACAACTTTAGTATGAGACAAAAGTAAAATCTCTTTTACGAATGTTTACCCATAGAGATGAATTAAAGAATGTATTAAATCAATTCTGTCTGCTTTTTACTTTTGTAATATGTCTAATAGATTGTTAGACTTATTGACATGGCTTATGTTGTTTCTGTTGAAGTGTGTAAGGTACACAGCTCTTTGGCGTCTTGGCAGGGAAGACAACTGACAGGTAGTACAGAGCCACGTGGTGGGGAGACAGCTTGTGCAGAGGCGGCACCTAAGTCAGCATCACAGGCTGCATCCGGTGTGCTCTAATGTAGTGGTAGTACTTAGTATTTTTTTTTTTTTCTTGCTTTTTACCTTCTTTTGAAGATTCTTAAGTTTACTTTCTGGGTGGAAAGAACTAAAGAAAAAGCTAAACATTAAAAAACTATTTTTTGAAAGTCCTTTTTTTAGTGGACTAAATTGACTCTCAGTTTAATGAAACAAATCTAGGTTGAGAAGGAAGGCCTGAATCTTGTCACAGTGGTCACTACTGTTTTCACTGGCTTATACAATTAAATTGATTTGTTAAGTGTGGAATGTAGATTAGTTTTAGGTATATTAAAACTGATAGTCCAGATGAAGATTAGCATTTAGTAGTTGAATGTATGGAAGTGGAGTCTTAAGAAAAATTTTGGCTGACAGTATAAATTAAGTCATAGGTAGGTATGTGGTCATAAGTTGAGTAATGTGATGAATCTAGGACACACACCACAGGAGCAGGAAGGAAAGGAAAAGGGACCTGGAAGCCTTTGGCAGAAATGGCCAAAGAGGGAGGGATCCAGCTAGGATAGTCTGATTTGAAGAAGCAATAAGATGCTGTCTGTAGAGTGTGACATGTGCCTAAGCTGTTAAAATTAAGACTGTTGTCCTTAATAAATGTAAGAGCTGGTTCCCTGGAGAGATTGGATCAGAAGACGAAGCAGGAGTGCAGAAAGTAGAACGGTTGGTTCATAGGAAGTAACGAATGTAAGATAGAAAACTTACTGTTTGGCACAGAAAGAGGTGGGGAGATACAGGAAGACTTTCTATAGCTGATGGAGGGTGTGTACTTAGCATATGAAAACTTGCAGTGTATATTGTGTATTCTCTGAGTTTTAAGTCCCTTAGAAAAATGTTTCTATATTTTCTCTCATGGGATATAATGTAGCATCCTTTACAAGTTCACTTCCAATGATAGTTGCTCAAGATTTTTAATTTAATACCTTTTTTAAAGATACAGCTTTTTTGTCAACATCATTTCAAGTATCCTGAGCATTATGTCTCTGTAAAGACTTACTATTTTCCTGCTTTAAATGTATTCTGGCCTTGCAGCATGGCTTACTGGTGAAAATAATTTAAATTCAAACTCTGGGGTTTTAGTTGCACGATCTTGAGCATGTTAGCCTCTTCTCACTGCTGAAGTGAAGGTATAATACTTTATTATTATTAGGCTTTTTATGGATTCAGTTTGCAAACAGCTTTTTGTATACATTTAGAGGTGTTTTGATATTGAAGTAGGTGCTCAATAAGTACTTCTGACTCAATGGCAACTTTATGTTATACATGCTAACTAACACTAGTTTTTATAATTTGATTTAAAGTGGTATATATGACATATTATTACTTAATACTAGGCATACTCAGGTGAAATTTGAATGAAAAATTAGACTCTGAATTTTAAAAAATATGTTTTTGTTTCTTTCCCTTAATCCAGGTCCTGAGGGAGTCTAACAAATTAGCAGAAATGGAAGAACCACCCTTGCTTCCAGGAGAAAATATTAAAGACATGGGTGTGTAATGGTACTTTTTGTCTGTCATTTCCCTCCCTTCTTTTGAAGCGACTCTACCTTCTAAGCACGGACAGGATAAGCGAGCGGCCAGTGGAGGAAGCTCTCTCCTGGCAGCACTTGCCCACCACGGCCGCCGCCGTTCAGTGTCTGTTCCTTTGGGAGCACTCTTAACCAGGCTTCTGGGAGATGTGCCTGTTAAAGATTATTCTGCCTATCCTGGGTTTTTAAGTTTTCTTTGAAAATAGGTGGCTTTTGTTTTTAAACTGTTGCTGAATTATGTGAAGGAAGATAATAATTTATTGCAGCTGCTACACATTATCTTATTGCATTTATATGTTGGGTTGCTTAGATAAACACATTAAATTGTCTCTATATGATTAAGATCAAACCCAAGGCCCTTACCCTGAAATTCATTTCCAGCCCTTTTATTTTTTTGAGATAATGCTTGTCAGTTGCCCAGGCTGGGCTCAAGCTTGAGTCTTCCTGCCTCAGTCCCCGAGGAGCCTCCCAGGCATAACCCACCACTCTGGGCTTGTCACTTTATACAGATAATTTAAAACACACCCGCTTCTTTGCCTCTTTTATGTCTTTCTTTCCATAAACTCAGGTCACAAATAAGCATTGTGGAATAAGCCATTGGTACATACCTTTGTCTCACGTAGTATTGGTAACATGAACTGGAAACTGAAAATCAGCACATAAAATATATTTTTCTTCTCATGCTTCACTTTGTTGTGATAAATCTACAAAATAGTAATAGATTATGAGAAACAATATATTGGAAGATTGAAATAAGTGGATTTCTAGCCAGAGCAGATGAATCATAGTTTTTAAAACAGATACCTTAGATTATTTTCCCTGGCTAACTGTCCTTTGCTTGTGTAAAGCTGAACAAGCCCGAGTGAATGAATGAGTGAACTGCTAACTCCTCCTGTGGCGTTTTAGTGCTTAATATTTCTTCTTTCTCTTGACACATAGGTAACCGCTTTGGTGTTTTTTCTCTTACTTGGCCTTGTAGCCTAAGCCTCAATGTGGTCAACCATTTATTGAGTTAGATAATGTGTAACAGCTGCAGTTATCTGTGTATGACTCTGTGCTGCCACGCAGTTATTTGTTAATGCTTGCTGTCCCACCTACCCATCCTCAGACAATACTCTTACCAAAGAAGGCGTTGTCTGCCCTATTTGGTAGATGAGGAAAACTAAGGCATGTGGCGATTTGCAAACAAGGCATGCTTAGCTAGCCAGTTAGGTCTAGCATTATGTTTTCATTGTTATTATTACGAACCTAATCCCTCTGCTGCTCCCACTGTGATAGAGGCTTGTAAGAGACTTTCAGGTTAGTGTTGTGTCTCCTTTGTTTGGTCCTCTTCCTTTAGTGTCAGCATTCTCTGGGACTTCATCCTTGACCCAGGTTCCTCTGTCTTGTATATTCTTTTTGTTTTTGAGATAAGGTCTTACTGTAGTTCAGGCTGGTCTTGGACTCACTGTGTAGCTCAGAGATCCCCCTACCTGTCTTACAAGTGCTGGGATTAAGGCAAGCACCACCATGCTGGGCTTCTTGTATGTATGGCCTTTTACATTGATCATATCAAGTCAGTGACTTTGTGTACAATATATTGGCTGATGCCTGTAAAGTCTGCATTTCTGGTTTGAGTCTCTGTTGTGATACACATAAAATCATTGTGTCATAGACACATGCTCTTGCCTATTCTGCACCGTGTTATTCATAATGGTGTATGTCCAAGATCTCCAAACTAAAACTGTCGCCTTCACCTTTCCCTTCATGTGTACTCTTTCTTGTGACATCAGTGTCCCTGAGATGGTATCACTTTCACTTGTTCATTCACTTTGGTCAGAAACCTGGTTGTCTTTTTTGGCTGCTCTTTTAATTCTGAATGCTCATACCCAGCCATCGCCCGGATCTGGAGGGCTAACTGCAGAGTTTTCCTAACTTTGATATGGTGTTGTGTATATTGAATTTCAGGTACCTGTAAAAGACTTGGGAGACGGGGTCAAGCCTAGGGCCTTCTGCGTGCTAGACAAGCTTCCTACCACTGAGCCCCTCGGTTGGAAAAGCAGTGGTGCTTTGATTCACAAACTGCTTTTTATGATTCTGGTCACAAAGCAAATTGGACTAGAACCAAATCAGATTTCCCTATGAGGATATATTGAACCTACCCATTGAATTTGATGTGATTCTTCTCCAATTCTGTTTGTGATCAGAATTGTGGAACAAAACGAGAGGGGCAAATAGCTCAATGGATTGAAGTGCCTGCAAGCAGGTGCAGGGGCCAGGAGTTCGATCCCCAGGCCTGCCGTGCCAGCCCCACCCCCGGATTGTACTGAGACGGCAATTGAGACTGGACATGGTGGCATGCACCTGTAATCTCAGCTCTTGGGAGGCTGTAAACAGGTGGATCACTGTGATTCCGATCTAGTAGTGAGACCATAGGCACCCTGTAGACCCTTCTCTAAAATAAAGAAATAAAAAAAGTTGTAGAACATACTAAGTTTGTGGACTGAGGTGCCACTATGCCTGATGATGACATACTTAGGCTTGACTCATGTTTAGGAGTCATTATCACATGGATATTAGTTAAAAGCAGGAGGAAGAAAGTAATTCAGAAAGGAAGTAGGAAGAGAAGGGGGCCCAGAGCATGGCTTTGGTGGTCACTAACCTTGCAGTTATGTGGGAACTGATGAGGGGAGGGCAAAGGCGGGGAGTGCAGTGTGTGGTGGTGGGAGAGGGCTGGGCTGGGAACTTGTGTCCTGGAGTCTCTGGTTTGCAGTAAGTTGTTCTTGGCATTAGTGCTTTGTTAGCACCTTTGTTTACCTAAAGGTTACCTACATGTATTCCTTGAACCCTTCTTTGATCTTATGACTGAATAGACTTTTCTGCCTCTACATACTTTGAGCATATTTTTTCTCTTTTTGCAAGGTCAGGTGCTGTCATATATCCACTTGCCTGTATTTGTCATCTTTCTCATGGATGTGCATTTTCCAGGTCATTTTGGTGCATCACAGAGAACTAAACGTGCTCCTGCACTGTGATGTCAGTAGAACTTAGAGAAGATGAGTAAATCTGACTTGATACCATTAGACAGTGTTATTTCCACAGTTCTGTAATTTAAAATCATCTGTACAGACTCGACGATTATGGTGCAGAAGTTAAATTGAACAGAAAAAATACTATAAGGTTAGGATAAACTTGGATAACTTCATGGGAAAAGATCTTGGATTTAAATTGGTTTAATATAAGTCTGTGGCTTAGATTTCTTCAAAGAAACAGTTAAAGTCATGTTGGGAGTAACAACAGAATATCTTAGGAAATAAAGTGTGTTGTGCCCTAACCACCTCAGGAAGAGATGTTTTTACAGTTTGCAGTAATTTAACCTTAAATTCAGGAAGCAGATGTTACACGGACTGTGCTGTTAGTGGTGTAGCCTTGCCACATGAGGTGCCATGGAGAAAGGTTTCTGGTCAGGGGAACTGGCCTGAACGCTTCGTCTTACCCTGGTTCTGAAGCCTTGGGCAGTTCTTTTACCTTTCCGTGCTCTGATTTTCTTACGTAAAAGTGAAGCTAAATATATACCTCCATGTAAGAGTTGTTAAGGCTGCATGCTCCAGGAGAAGTACTTCGTAAGCTTGTGCTTGGTCCCCTGTGCTGTTGTTACTGTCCTTGCCTCCTCCGGTAAGGAACATAGTCACCTAGGGCCTCCCTTCTGTTTGGTGCACACTGACCGAGCATCTCCCATGAGTGAAACTTCACTTAGGAGGACTGAGAGACCAAAGCACACAGTAGTGAGGACAGCAGCGATGTGGGTGGTGGCCCTGGCATTTGTACAGTGCTTTCAGTTTTAGCACTTTCCTGTGTATTGTCTCATGACATTACAATAAAGACAAGGCAGTCCAAGTGCAATGGAAAAAGAGATACAGGATAATGAAACCGATTTCTCCTGTGTTAATAAAAAACTAGCTCTGGATGGAATCCAGAAATGCTTGTAGAAATGTTGAATAAAGCTTTCCTAGTTGATGTAAGCATTCATAAACACAAAAGAAGAGTACATGTGTACGCGTGTGTGTGTGTATTTGTACAGTGATAGGTTTAATTTTAAAGGCTTCCTTCTAAAGGACATGTGCACTAGAAACAGTGATTTAAAAAGGTAGCTCCTGAGGTAACTATTTTGAATGTTAGAGGTGACTGGTAAATAATGTCTCATTTCAAATTCCATACAAAATAGCCTTTTAAGATGATGAGTAAGGAGCAAAGTCAGGAAATTGCAGTGTCATACAAAGACCTGTTTCATGGCTCTACATTTCTCCAGAAGTCGCTGTTTTATATGAGTTTTATTTCAATTACAATAATTTTCTCAGAAACATATCACAGGCTTCTCTCATTTTGTATGTCTTGAGTATTATATTTTTAAAGATATACTGACAGACTTGACAGTGGCCAAGAGCCAGGAGGTGGGGGACGCAGAGGCTGTGATGTGCTGAACCCTGACTTCCTTGGCACGCGTATATTTCCCAGCCCACCTGCGCTCCCTCGCCTCTGCCCCTGCTGTCACTGGCTCTCCAAAGAGGGATAGTAGTCATCTGGGCTTGCTCTGGTTGTGATAGCCCTGCGCGTCTGTGATCTGTTCATGTATCCTATAGACCTCCCCTGGGTTAGTGCAGGGTAGAGGCTTGTAACAGGCCACTGAGGAAGAGCAGAAGTTAAAATTAGCAATTAGAACAATTTTTAAAGATGAAGAGACTGTTCTCAATACACTGTATAAGCTGTGAATGTTTTGCCTTTTTAGCCAAAGATGTGACTTACATATGTCCATTCACTGGTGCTGTACGAGGGACACTGACTGTCACGGATTACAGGCTGTATTTCAAAAGCATGGAGCGGGTAAGACTTGCTGGGTGAAATATTTTGTATATATATATGTGTGTTGTTTTTAACTAGTATTGTTTGCCTGTGATCATTTTTAAGAATTTTTCATTAAGATTCCTTACGGTGTGTGTGTGTGTGTGTGTGTGTGTGTGTGTGTGTGTGTGTGAGAGAGAGAGAGAGAGAGAGAGAGAGAGAGAGAGAAGGAGATCACACCCATGGGCTCATGCATGGAGGGCAAACACTCCGTGTTGAGTTGCATCTGCAGTGCTCTGATTAAGATCTCTGACTTTAACTGTACTTGTGTGGTATCAGTTGCTCAGTTTGTTTTCTCTTTTCTTCTTTTAGGACCCCCCATTTGTTTTAGATGCTTCTCTTGGCGTGATAAGTAGAGTAGAAAAAATTGGTGGTGCTTCTAGTAGAGGTGAAAATTCTTATGGCTTAGAAACTGTGTGCAAGGTAAATGTTACAATGAGTATGCTACTTTGTTTGGTTTTAAAAGCTGGTAAATGGATCTTCTATTTGGAAACTAATTTTAGAAATAACGTGAATTTTTTTTTCATTCCTCGTTTCTTTTTTGTGGAACTGGGAATTGAACTCAGGCCCTTGCGCTTGCCAGGGAAGCACTTATGCCCCTGAGCCATCTCCCTGGCCCCTAACAAATGGATTTCATTACTAGAAATATTACTTTGGTAGAAGATAACATTTCCATTTATCATTGTAGTTGGGGTTTTTTAGTACGAGGGATCAAACTCAGGACCTTCCACTTGGCAGGCAGGTGCTTATGCCATGGAGCTACCTCCCCAGCCCCTGTCGGAGGTGTTTCATGTGCTGCTTTTCCAAGTCGCTGTTCTACATTTTGTAGCAATCAGGACCCTTGCACATCTCACTTCCAGGTCATGCTGCGCCTTTCTTGCACTATTCTGCCCCTGTCCAAAGTAAAATAAACAGCACGTGTATAATTTGGAATACTGTGTTATGATAACGTTTGATATCTTGTGAATATAGTATTAACACTGATGCCTTCATAATGACGATTTGTCAACTATATTGTTTCTTGATCACTTCCCTGTAGTTTAAGTGAATGCAGTGTAGAATATTAAAAGATAATGGTTTTGAAATCTTGGTCATTTAAAATACATATTTTTTTCATGAAACAATACCAGTGTCGATGAACTCAAGCATTTGTAGGGCCTCTGCATGGCCCTTTCAGGAAGCTCTGTGGTTAGCAGTGAATGAAACTATCTTTACTAGTTATAAAAGTACGTAGGGGCCTGGGAAGATAGCTTGGCAGTCTAAGCACCTGCCTGGCAAGTGCAAGGACCGGGTTCGATCCCCAGTACTGCATGCTGTGCCAGCTCTGGAACCCTAGGTGTGCAGTGCTGGCCAGCGAAACTGGGTGTGGCAGTGCACACTTGTAATTCCAGCGTTGGGAAGGGTGAGACAGGAAGATCACTACTAGTCCAAGCTGCATATTGGGACCCTGTACCAAGGTAAATAAATAAAAGATTAAAAAGTAGATTTTAGGAAAAGTATGTACAGAGGACAAACAAGATCTTAGCTTCAGTTCCTACACATTTATTTTAAATTATGGAAAAGCTATCATTGATTTTTGGATCAGATTTATAGTACCATGTTTTATTTGGTTTATAGGTATGTGGTGGTGTAGTATCTTTGTTTCATTTTATGAGACATAATAGTTACTTTGAATTTTGCTTAGGTTAAAACATTTAAATATGTCCTGAGTCTTAATTGACCTTAGAAGGCTAGGGCCAAAATGTTGGCTTTCCTTGCAGCCCTCGTTTTTCTCTAATTTTGGTCTGCAAACTTAGGTTGTTAACCATCCAGAAGACAAGCTTATACTGTAACGTCATGTAACTCGGTAGTATCCCAAATTTTCTGATCAAGGAGATTATGGGGCCAAAGAGGAAAGTGATCGATGATGTAGAGTGTGCCTAAGGAGAGTCACATGGAGAGAAAACATTCTCTCAGGCTTTCACAGAGAGCACATCGGCCAAGCAATGGCCGTGACTCATCCACGTGGCTGACACTGACAAAGGTTCTACAATCTGAGGTACAGGATCTCAGGATAAATCCTGAGGGGATTTCGCTGACCCTATCAGACCCAAAAGCTACAATTCTTGTTGCATAGGTCCTGCTTTACCTTGGTCTTAACCATCCAGAAGGAAAGTATAAAAATGAAATATAAGAAATAAAGCCATGCTGTTATGTTGAGCTGTAGGGGACTCAGGTCAACAATTTCTGACATTGCCAGTGAAGCGGAAGACCCAATACTATTATGGGCTACTGGACTCTTTTAGAATATTTTGCTGAGTTTACACACCTATAATATTCAAATATTCTCTTAATGAATAGAATGATTTGTTCTAATGATGTTTGTAAATAGGATATCAAGTCAGCATCTTGTACAGCAGTTAACCACTAAGAAGAGTGTATGCAGTGTGTTAATTATTGAAACTGTCCTACCAATTTGATTTGAAACTGTCACATTGCTATTTGTTTATCAATAAAATTATGGCAAAAAGATAAAAGAACAGAGGGAATGACAGTAAAAAAAAAATTACAAATTCCAATGTCAGTACCCCCAAGCTTTACCAGAACAGTCACATGCTTTAAATAAAGTTGATGAATATCCCCACTACAAGGTCAGGGTTGAATGTTTGGAGGCCATCTGGCACATCCTGCAAGCCACAGTGAGTGCACAGGCGTTTGAGTGACATCTGCAAAAGGACATTGTCAAAGGTGAAATAAGTAAAATACCAAGTCAGCCTCAAGAGATGACATTGTGATCTGGATGATTACTAGCTTTATTAAAAGCCAGACTACGTAAGCTGTCTTAGCCTCCACGTTGTTAACATGTTGTGCATGACCACTGGCAGCCAGCCCAGCCCAGCTGTTCATAGGAGAGGATGACACCCTGTGTCCACCTCTGAGCTTGTCCCCACAATGCACTCTTGAACTTGGAACCCTAGTGAAGTGTCAGTGCCCATTGCCAAAGAAAAAATTCCATTCTTAGACCTGCATAACAAAAAAAAAAAAAAAGGTTTTAATTTCATTAATGAAAATTTTGAAGTTCATTTCCGCTTGTTACGTGTGAAAAAAAAAAACATTTAAATACAATGGATAGTCTTGAAATTATTAACCTCAAATGTTTTTGTGAATACTGTTACGGTATCAGTAAGCCTGAACTTGAGTTTCTGAATTCAGCCTAAGCAAAAGGACATTGCTTGAGGATAATAATGAGAGCAAGCTCTGGTCATGCCATCTGACTGGAGCCTTTAACATCCACCAAACTATCCAATTTTTCCTGCCAGTGGAGGGAACTTGGATATGGAGTGGAGGAAGCCTTTTAGGCAAAATTAAGATGAGGAGGTCATAAACATATGATTTCTGGGAAGTGACAAGGACATGATGGAAGTGCAGTAGCAGCTAATTCGGCTTTTACTAGAGAAATTCACTATAAAAGTGAATAATCACAGGAAAGACTTACATTGATATGTCCATTAGTCATGCTAAGCTTCGGACACAATGTGTCCAGTGTAAAATATATCAGTTGCTGCCTCTTTTATTGTCCTGTATTCAGTTCACTAGTGTACACCAATTTTCTGCACTCAAAAATTCAGCCTTGTTTTAGAGCAAATTGTGGGGCTTTTTTGTTTTTCTCACTGAAGCATTTTAACTGTACCTCTCTCCAGGAGCTGTTATCTACTTTTGCGTAATCCATAATCACAGGTCATAGTGTTATACAAGGTAGTTCCAAGTAATTTATTTACTCATTTAATAAAAAGCAAAAAGACAAAGATTAACTTTGATATTGAATCTTTTCTAGGATATTAGGAATTTACGATTTGCTCATAAACCTGAGGGGCGAACAAGAAGATCCATATTTGAGAATCTGATGAAATATGCATTTCCTGTTTCTAATAACCTGGTAACATTTTTCTTATCTCTGAAAAGTATACTTTATAATTATTGGTGTATAGAAAGTTGACTAAATTATATACAATTTTTACATTGGACATGTAACCAGATGTGTAGTTTAGATTTAATTGAATCTCTTGGGCCCTTTGAAGAATCTACACCTGCCTATTTCTAAGGTTCCTTCCAGCATTAGTCTTAGAGAGTTCCATGTATTCCTGCGTAGGATGTTTGCAGCATGAGAAGCTACATGCAGTCTCCTTGTTAGTTCGAAGCTGATAGCTCAGACTAGCACTTTGGGAGGGGAGGTGGGCAGATACTGAGCTCTTGCTTTGTGCTGTCAGGAGGTTTTGTGATGATGTCAGCTCCTTCATCAGTGCTGTATCATTGTGCTTCCAGAGTCCCCTGTTTAGAGATGAAACCAGGATTAGGGAAGCATTAACTTGAAGGCGTAGCTTAGGCAAGTAGAATTTGGAGTTGGCATTGATTCTATTCTGGCTCTAGTTTTGATTTCTTTTTTAAAAATCCTATTGTTTCTATCAGTATTTCTGTAAAAGTGGTATATTTTTATTTGCAGAATACATAGAAAACTTTCCAAGGTGTTTTACAAAATGCAGCATAAACTCCATAGCTGCTTAACTGCTAATACTGCAATGTCAGACAAATTATAGCAGATGTCTTTAAAATATATAATGTTTTATTATTTAGAATTATACTTAAAAGCTTCCAAAGATAGCTGAATATATTTGATCATTTGTTACCGTTTGATAAATTTTATAGTTGGGTCTGTGCTTTTATATAGTCTTATAAATATGTAAAATACCATAAATGTATAAATAGAAAAAGGTGTCAATACAAAAATGCTTGCTGAAAATGAGCACTTTGAGTATGGGGATATATTCTGATTCTTATTTTCTTCAGTGTCTTTTAGCTGCTAATTCTGCTGTTTTGTAGCCTCTCTTTGCTTTTGAATACAAAGAAATATTTCCAGAAAATGGGTGGAAACTGTATGACCCTCTTTTAGAGTATAGAAGGCAGGTATGTATTTCCTTTTGTTTCAAGTTCTATAGTTTATATTCTTTTCATTGTAAAAATACCTTATGAGTAGAAGTGAATAGCTTTTTAGATTTTATTTTGTTGCTTTTAAATAAATGGTAATCCTGATTATGTCATATCTTCCTTTCATTTTCTTTAAAGAACTTTCCAGAATACTCTAGTGATCTTTTGTAAATCTTTAGTTATTTAAGAGCTTGTAAGTATTAGTTTCTTTCTTTCTTTCTTTCTTTTTATTTTAGGGAAGGGTCTACAGGGTGTTCAGGGTCTCACTACTAGATTGGACTCGTAGTGATCTGCCTGTTTACAGCCTCCCAAAGAGCTGGGATTACAAGCATGCGCTACCATGCCCAGTCTCAACTGTCATCTCAGTGTGCCCCGGGAGCAGGGCCAGCGCAGCAGGCCTGGGGATCAACGCCCTGGCCCTGTGCCTGCTTGCAGATGCTTTATCCACTGAGCTATTTGGCCAGCTCTAGTATTCGTTTATTTCAAAAATACTTTAATAGTTCTAAAGATAAAAGTAACAGTCTTATGTAACATTCACTCAGATGTTTTCCTCTTGGAAATCTTACAGTTCTGTTTTTTCTTTCTTCTTCTTCTTCTTTTTTTTTTTGTGGTACTGGGGACCAAAGGATCCTTGTGCTTGCCAGGCAGGTGCTTATGCTGCTGAGCCATATCCCTACCCAATAATTCTTTTTTTTTTTATGGTACCGGTGATTGAACTCAGGACTTTGCACTAATTCTACTGCGCTATCTCCCTGGCCCCCCAGCCAATAATTCTTAAATCATTTTCTTTTGTAATGTGGATCCCTATAAAACTTTTACATAGAAGATGTAGTTTGCTTTTTAACTTGTGCTAAAGATAATTGATTGACTTTGTACAGTAACATTAAAAATACCTCCTAGGGATGGAGACGTAGCTCAGTGGTAGTGTTTGAACAGCATGTACGAAGTTATGGGTGCTAGCCCCAGAAACACACACACACACACACACACACACACACGAATAATTTTGTCAGGAATCCATTACATCTTTTAAGTTATTTTATATAGAAGTCAAGATCGTTAGTTGTAGCCTTCTCAGGATTATCTGCCCTACTTTGATTCATTTTAATTTGATGAATATTAATGTCTACTTGTCCATTCCTTTTTAAAAAAAATTTTTTTTTATTTAGTACAGGATCTACTAGGTCTCACTGCACAGGTCAGACTGTAGTGATCCTCCTGTTTTTAGCCTCCCAAGCACTGGGATTATAGGCATGTGCCACCATGCCCTGTCTTAAGTGCCATCTCAGCCCACCACGGGGGCAGGGCTGGCATGGCATATTGGAAATTGAACAACAGCTGCTGTGCTCTGCCTAAGCAGGCACTTTAGTCCGCTGAGCTATCTGGCCAGCCCTAAATTAATAAATTTTGCTGAGTGGGCTACATCTGTTGAGTTTTTACTGGTTTTGTTTTTTTTCCATAATTTTATTGAGAGACATATAGCAATGAGATGGTTTCAAATCAAATTGGTAGGACAGTTTTAATAATTAACACATTGCATACTCTCTTCCTAGTGGTTATTTGCTGTACAAGATGCGGACATGATAGCCTATTTACAAACACCATTAGAACAAATCCCTCTATTCATTAAGAGAATGTAACTATGTATCTGTCCTAACCATTTTGAATACACAGATACAAAATGGACATTCATCTGTATCCCCTTTTTGGTTTAGTTCCGTTGTTTGAATATTATAGCTGTGTTAGCTCAGCAAAATATTCTAAAAGAGTCCAGTAATCCATAATAGTATTGGGTCTTCCGCTTGACTAGCAATGTCAGAAATTGTTGACCTGAGTCCCCTACAGCTCAACGTAACAGCATGGCTTTACTTCTGATACTAGTTTTTATACTTTTCTGCTGGATGGTTAAGACCAAGGTAAAGCAGGACCTATGCCAAAAGAGTTGTAGCTTTTGGGTGTGATAAGGTCAGTGAAATCCCCTCAGGATTTATCCTGAGATCCTGTACCTCACATTATAGATCCTTTGTCAGTGTCAGCCATGTGAATGAGTCACGGCCATTGCTTGGCCGATGTGCTCTCTGTGAAAGCCTGAGAGAATGTTTTCTCTCCATGTGACTCTCCTTAGGCACACTCTACATCATCGATCACTTTCCTCTTTGGCTGGCATAATCTCCTTGATCAGAAATACAGAAGATCGTAACCTTGATCATAATCTCCTTGATCAGAAAACTTGGGACACTACTGAGTTACATGACATTACAGTACAAGTTCTCATATGTCCTGAGTCTTAATTGACCTTGGAATTCTGGGGCCAAAATGTTGGCTTTCCTTGTGGCCTTCCTTTTTCTCTAATTTTGGTCTGCAAACTTAGCTTGTTAACCCTCCAGAAGAGAGGCTTATTGTTATTACCATACTTTCCATTTATTCCTGTCTTTTCTGTACTGAAACCATTTGCTTTGTAATTTTTCACTGACATTAGCAGTTTTTGAAGGAATCATTCATTATTTCTTTGGTATTTTTTGTGTTCTTAGAGGGAAGGTACTGTTTCTGTCCTCTCACTTCTGTATCCTGAGGATGGAGCACAGTGCCTTGTGGGCCCCAGATAGTGTCTCTGGAATGAGGGAATGCACAAGTGAACCTATTCTTTTCATGGTGTGTGCTCTGTAAATATTGTCAACTACCAAAGCTCCTTCATGTATTTGTTTTATTAACAGTGTTTTATATACACATATGTGCATGTATACCAGGATTTTAAAGTATTTTGTGCATAGTAATACGTTTTTCTTCATAGTAATTCTGTCAGGTAGGTAGTAGCGTTAGTTATCTGGATAGCACATGAATAAACTGAGGGACAGCAGCAAGACCAGCCTTGGCAGTTCACTGGCACAGGAGGCCCTGTCCCATCTTAAAACTGAAAAAAATAAAAGTAGGGCTGGGGATACAGCTCAGTGCGAAGGCTCTGAGTTCAATCCCCATTGCTGAATGAAAAGAAAAGTAGATGGTAGAGAAAAATGTAATTTTATCTTTATTATATTGAAATAAAATAACTACCTGTTACAAATTATATCCTTTAGGAAGAACGGTAAAATCACAACACTTGTAGACAGTTGAGACAATTCTAAAGGAGATATCTATATCTGTCTGTATCTGTCTATATGTGTATGAAACAATAATCAAAGACAGATGAAAAGAATAGTGTGGTAAATATAAATGAATATCGACTATATAAATGTGTAACATTTTCTGCTGTGTAATATAGATAAAGGTGTATCATCAGTAGCAAATAATTTAAATTTTTAAAATCATTTATTTATTTATTTATTTATTTATTTATTTGTTACACAGTCTCACTTTGCAGCGTGGACTCAGTGATCCTGTCTCAGCCTGCTTTGTGCTGGAATGACAGGCGCATGCCACCGTGCCAGCTTTGGTGGTTGGCATGGCCTGCCGGGGATCAAACCCAGACACTTGCACTTGCTAGGCAGGTGCTGCGACTGATGAGTTACCTCCCCAGCCCCATAGCAAATAATTTAGAAGGGGATAAACAGATAGGATAGTTCAAGATTGTCTAGACTATAAGGAAAGACATTTATTAATACTAGAATTTAATAAGATTGGTGTCATAATTTTTAATGCTTTGTACAAAAAGAAAAGTTTAAAAATCTTAATGAGTTAAAGTTTATCTTAGTGAAGTAGAAAAGAAATAGTGAGGTAAGCTTAAAGGAAAGTGGAGGGAAATAATAAAGAGCAGGTACTGGTGAAATAGAAAACCTTTATGCAGCGAGGAGCAGCAGAGGTAGCAATGGATCCTTTGGAAAGATCAGTAACATCATCATGCCTCCAGTGTTATCCAGCCCTTTGGCTTGTGTGAATCACACTGAGTGGAGAGGAATTGACTTGGGCCACGTATGTAGTCTATAACAATTAACATGTAGGTAATGAAACATCGTTGCTTTTACACACTTAAATTATCACTTTAAAAAAGAGTACTGATCTGCCATAAAAAAGATACATTTATTTGTAGGAAAACGCATTCACCTTGAACCATAATGTTACATAAAATAACACACTTAAAGGTCACCTGGTTCCTCTTATATGAGAATCTCAAATTATAAATAAAGAGAAAAACAAAAGATAGTAGGAGATATGGAGATAGAGCTTTTGCAAAAGGGAAGGAGTTCAAGAGATGGAGAGAGAGGGCCGGTGAGATAGCTCAGTGGACTAAGTGCCTACTTAGGCAAGTGCAAGGACCAGAGTTCGGTCCCTGGCAATCCATGCTGTGCCGGCCCCGCCCCGAAGCACACTGAGCTGGCCACGCTAGCACTGGGGAGGCTGAAAACAGGAGGACCACTATTAAGTCCGAGCTGTGTAGTGACACCCTGTACCAAATACATAGTTGGCGGGGGGTGGGAGCATAGAGGAGAAGGGGATGAAGAGGAAAGTTAAGTTGTGGGATGTACATGCAACAACTCCACACGAGGAGTGTAATAACTGTAAACTGCAAATACACACCAGTAGAAAACTTTAAAACCTCAGGAAAAAAAAAAAAAATAACAAAAATAGGGCAAGCAGCCTGCAGGCCAAGGTTAGACAAGCCTACAAGAGTGTTATAAGAAAATGAGAAAATTTCTAACTAACCAGTATTATAAATGGAAAGGATAACATTGTATGGATTCTGCAGATAGTATAGATAATGTCAAAGTGTTATGAACAACTTCATCATTAAATTTTTTGTAAAATGAATTGCTTAAAAATGTAACCTGCCAAAATTGCTTTAAAAGTAGCCTGTGAAATTTTAATCCATTATGTAAACATGTGATAAAAAATCTTACCCCAAGATGAGTCTGAGTGTGAAGGACTTGTGTGACATACATGAGGTCCTAGCTTCAGTTCCCAGCCCTACACAAATCACCTCCCAAGACACAAAAGCACACCACACCATTCATACTCCTGATCATACAAAAATGATACCTCAAGGAAAACAACCAAATTCCCAAACTCTGTGCCAAAAGAGATTTTGAAGAATCACATACTTAAAACAGTAAAAAAAAAGTTAGCAATTGTTTGATCTATTTTACTTAAAAGTTCCCTTTCGTGTGTGCAAAAGAGTGATACAATAAACATATTTGTCTAAGAAAATATATTTTTTTATGTATTTGGTACAGTGTCTCACTACGCAGCTTGGACTTGTAGTGATCCTCCTGTTTCAGCTTCCCCAGTGCTGGGATTACAGGTGTGCACCACCGTGCCCCATCTTGGTGGCTGGCTTACTGTGCTTGGGGGTGGGGCTGGCACTGCACGTGGTGTCAGGGATCGAACCCTGGTCCCTGTGCTTGCTGTCTCACTGGCCCAAATCTGAGTTCTTAAAGTAAATACATAGTGAAAATTTAATTGCGAAAGAAAGAAATCTCATCTAAAAACCCTGTGCCAGTGTTTCAAGCGCAAGTTGTACTAAACATTTATCAAGGGAAGTAAATCAGACATTTTTTAGAAAACACCAAGGAAAGATTGCCGCTTTCAGGATGAGTTTAGTATATGTTGAATCCTATAAGAACAATGAAAGAAAACTGTAGGCTATTTCCACTTATAAACATTCTGAACTTGTATATAAAATGGTAATGAAAAATCAGTAGTGTACAAAAGGGATAGCATATCATAATCAAGGTGAGTTGGTCTGATAATAGAAAACTTACTGATGTGATTCTCCAACGTTAAATTAGAGCAGAGTTTAGTCTCAAAATCTGTCTTAGTATATTATTCCTCCTGTTGTACATCTCTCATAATATATGGTGGATATATACTGCATGTATGTTATATGTAAATGTTCTAGAGTTAGAGTGAAAATTGCATAGCCTTATGAGTGTACCAAAAGCAATAGATTACACACTTTAAATATTTTGTACGTGAGTTCCATTTTAACTTTTAAAAATATAAATAAAGTTTATGTTTGTTCTTAGATAGTACAATCTCCAAAGTTCATTCAGTTGGGGCTGGTGAGATGGCTCAGTGGTCTAAAGCACCTACTTAGAACAAGCTTAGCAAAGCACGAGACCACAGTTCAATCCCCCAGCACCACATGCCAGCCAGCCCGCCCCCTGGTGGGCTGAGCTGGCCACACACACATACATAAATAAAATTTTTAAAAAAGTTCATTCAGTTTTAAAAAGGGTATACGATACGTGCATTGTATACATACTTAGAAAAGTAGTATAGGGCTGAGGATATAGCTCAACAGCATAAACACCTACCTGGCAAGTGGAAGGTCCCAAGTTCAGTCCCTGTTACCCAAAAAAAAAGAGCCTTGCCACCACAGGCAGTCACTGTTCCAGCAGCATAAGTGATGTGTATTGGACACAGTAGAGTTGGCCAGAGGGACAGCTGTCCTGTTCTGTTTTCATATTTGAATTCATCATTTTTATGTTTTATTTCATGTGTAGGGAATTCCCAATGAAAGCTGGAGGATAACAAAGATAAATGAACGATATGAACTTTGTGATACATATCCTACGCTCTTGGTTGTGCAAGCAAATATTCCTGATGAAGAGTTAAAGAGAGTGGCGTCCTTCAGGTCAAGGGGCCGCATCCCAGTGAGTGTGATGTTTGAAGGCGATCTCAGCAGTGCTTTTTTACTCTACAAATGCTGAGCTTAAGGACTTGGAAAATGAATGCTGCTAAAGATACCTGTAGCAGCAAATGCTTTGTGGCAGTATTAGAGACTGAGTTACTTGGTAAATTTAAAGGATTAAATTTTAGAACTGGAAAATTTCAACAAAAGTTACCTTATTTTTAACATGAAAACAATTTTCCAGTGTGCATCATTCAGTATTTCTTTATCTTATCTATTCTTTAGTTATGGTCATAAATGTTCTTTTCCCTTAAGTCAAGAAAGAACAATTTATAAATTCATGATGAATAATTAGATCTTGAGAGATCATCTTAAATAGTTTTTAAGTACAAAAATTCATACATTCTGAAGATTTTGGAGTTGGGCAGCTTTACTGATGCAGTAATAAAACTATCAAAGTGGAGTGTACTTATCCCTCTTTTCCTTTTTTTAATTTTCCCTAGAGATGCCAATTCCCAAATCAGGGACTTTCATAAATAACTATCTGATTAAGAATTAGATGAGGTTTTCACATAGCAGAATTGGTTTGAAAACTAAGTAATGATTTTTCCCTACAGCTTAGAAAAAATTTTTCCTGGACATTTCATGTCCAGGTTTTGGATCCTGTTAGAACCTAGGGTTTTATAAAGGACTGTTCGTAAGAATTACAAACAGAGAAATATAAAGTGTGTTATCCTTTACTCGCATTGGCAGGTATTGTCGTGGATTCATCCTGAAAGTCAAGCCACCATCACTCGGTGCAGCCAGCCCATGGTAGGGGTGAGTGGAAAGCGCAGTAAAGAAGATGAGAAGTACCTTCAAGCCATCATGGATTCCAATGCCCAGTCTCATAAAATCTTTATATTTGATGCCCGACCAAGTGTCAATGCTGTTGCCAATAAGGTGAGATTGTCCTTCCAGTAATCGAGCTTATAATCACAGTTTGAGCTGCATTTGGCAGGGGACATAGTGTTGTGAAAAGTGGTCAGGTTCTACAGTGGTGAAGGTGAAGATTCCAATCATGGCTCTTGCCTTGTTATCCACCCCTGTGACTGTAGGTTATGTGATCCTTTCAAGACTGAATTTATATTTATTGTAAAAGAATTGATCAGTGCAGATAAGCAGAAGGAAAATATTTTAAAACACTCCAGTGTCTTTAAGAAACACGGTTAAATCTTAGTTTATACACTTATATCTGCATGCATATCTATTTGAAACAGAATGGGATAATTTTAATTTCTTCTTTAAAAAAATTAACACTGTATATTACTGAGCCAAGAAAAATTCATACAGTGTCATTTTAAGAAGTAAGTATACCTGGCTACACCCAGCTGTTAGACAGATTTAGAAGTTTTGTGTTTATTTCTGTGTTTTGTTACGAGCAGTGTGTGGATGATCTTGCTTAGCATGTGTGGACAGGATGAGTTCCAGGCGTTAATCTCTACTAAAACTGGAAACACTCTCCAAGGACGCGAGGGAGGAGCATGACACCCTGAATCCTAAGCTAATACTACAGTAACGTGTAAATGAAGCCCTTAGCCCGGGGCTACCATGTACGGATACTGTTCCATTAATTACTTGTTCCCTTTCCTAAGCATTAGTCCACTAAGTAGCAGAAAGACACAGCATTGTTTTCCAGCATGGGTTAAAGGAACGTAAGACTGAAAATGGTAAGATAAAAGTAAGAGTTTTGTCTAATTTGGTGGTATTATTCCCATCCATATATCATGGAAATGCCCTTTATTGATTTGCAAGCGTATATATCTTTGGTTGCAACATAATTTAGTTTGTGTTGTAGGAACTGTCGTTTTCTGCAAAGCTTTATTCCAGAGATGCTCAGTCCTTCTTGGCAGCTGCCTTCCTCCTGGCAGCCAGCACATTGTTCAGCTCCTCACGCTTCCTCTTGGCCCAGATGTGTGTCCCCACCCTTTTCTTGATGAACTTGAGGGCGCACTTGTCCTTGGAGACCTTGAGCAGCTCCATGTGGTGCTGCTCATAGCGGGGTGAAGCCGCACACACCCCAGATCATGTCCTGCACAAACTTGGTGTGTTTGGTGAGGCGTCTGTGATGGCAGCTGTGTTTGCTCACATTCTTAGTCACCTTGTGGCTCTTGTTGAGGCCCACGGCCATGGGATAGCAGAGGGCTGTGGCTATTGTTCTTCAGTGGTTGCTGTGGTGAAAAGACCAGCACTGCGCAGAGCCCCATGGGGATGTCTTTATGTCCTAGTGAACTCCTGTAGGAAATGATTGTGACTCACGTCAAGAATTCGAGCTTTGGCAGCAACCAAGTCTTCCTTGAGTGCCCCACCTTTGTTGCCCTTTCTACTTCTGCCAGAACTAATCTCTCTTACTTTATAAAGAGCAGTAATTTTCCAGTACTTACTTTATTACAAAAGTGTGCACTTTTGGACTCTGTAGCTTAGCCTTATTTCTTTCAAATACTGTATTTCCTGTGTTTTTTCAGTCTCTTAATCTGTACCCCCCGCCCCCAGGCGCCTTGTGCATCACATATTTTTCCTTTTGTCTGTGGTGCTCTCACAGCTGGATTCTACCGATTGTGTCATCGTGTAGCTCCTCTATCTCCTGTGCCCTGAGTTGTAAGATTCACCCCAAGTGACCAGGACGCAGGGGTAGCCCCTCCGGCAAGGCTGATGCACAGGAGGCGTGTGGGGTGCTAGCTGCTGCTGCTGCTGCTCGGTGTCTCGCGACGGACCGGTGACTACAGAGTGGTGATGTTCTGGTTCTGAGACTTCCTGGTTAGTGATTAGTTTTATTTCTACAGAGAGATATTTTTTTAATCTATATTTTGAATAATCCTCACTTAATTTGACATATAAAAAGATGGGTAAATGCTTGATTTTTTTCATTTGTCAGTTTTCCTAGTGATGAATTTACTCTGTCATCCCCTGGAGAAGCTGGCTTTTTAAAATATGATGCGCTGATATAGTAAACTTTATGTTTTCTAATCTTTTACACTAGTATCTTTTTTAAGTCAAAATTTTTCTCATCTTTGGTCATTGGGAGCCTTGTCAGGTTATCTCCTAGGTTCTTTATAGTGATAGTAATTTCTGTGTGATGTAGTTAAGGTAATCACCCCTCAAAAGTCCAGATGTTTAAAACTTGGTCCCTGGCCCAGTATGTGATACAGGAAGGTGGTGAGCCCTGAAGAGGGCCCTCGAGAGACCTGCAAGTCCTGGGGCTGTGCCCTTGAATGAGGTCGTAGGACTTGGCCACCTCTTCTCTCTCGGTTTCCTTTCTTGCCGCGAGTTGAGCAGTCGCTTCCCTGTGTGTTTCTGCCATTATGTGCTTGCTGTCTTGTGCAGGCCTGGAAGGCAGTGAGGCTGGCTGATCCTGGGTGGAAACTTGCAGAACTGTGAGCCAGAGTAGAGCGGTTCTCTGTGTGAGAGATCTCAGGTATTTGGTACAGAAACAAAAAGGTGACTAGCACAGACTCTGCTGTGTGATACGACAGAGTATACCCTGATTCATGAGGGAAGCTTTTATACTTCTGCTGCAGAATGGAACAGGCATTTTTCCAACAAATTCTGGCTTCCTTAGTATAGGAAATAATACCTCAATCATAATATGGTGCTAAGGAGGTTCATTCTCTGTTGTCTTCATTTCTAGGTCTTTTACTTTGTATTCACTCTTGTCAAAATGTGTAGCCATTACATAGTCTCCCTTGCATTTACATACATTCTCTTCTGTGATTTCTACAAGTAGTTACATAGAGCAGGTCCCAAGTTTACAACTCTGTTCCTTTCTGGGAGACTTTTTTTTTTTTTTTTTTATCTGTTACTTATGTGGTACAGGGTCTCACCACACAGCCCAGACTCGTAGTGATCCTCCTGTCTTAGCCTCCCCAGCTCGGGCTACAGGCATATGCCACCATGCCCAGTTTCAGTGGCCAGCACAGGATGCAGTACTGGGGGTCGACCAGGGCCTTGTGCTTGCCAGGCAGGCATTTAGACCACTAAGCTGTCTCCCTGGCCTCTCTGGGAGAGTATTTGTAGGTCGGATTCATTTGTATCCAACAAAGTGAGTGTTATACAGCACAGCTGTGGGAGGTCTTAACTCCAGTGTGTGTAAGTCAGGGACTTTCTGTATATCAGTGCCCTGTTGGGTCTCCATCCACACTCAACCAACCTACTGCAAATTGAAAGCTATTTTAAAAAATTATCTACCAAACGAACACAGACTTTTTTGGGGTCATTGTTTTCTAAACAATGCACTATAACAACTATTTATATATCATTTGTGTAGCACTATATATGAGAAGTAATAAAGAGATGATTTAAAGTGTACAATACACTGGTTTATGTAAATACTGTGCTATTTTATGCGAGGCACTTGAGTGTCCATGAACTTTGGTATCCGTGAAGGATCTTGAAACCAGTGGAGGTGCTGAGGGAGGACTAGTGCCTGCCTGCAACTGCTGTAGTCAAGTCTTATGTTCTTTGTAGGCACATGTGCCCCCTCCCCCGTGCACTGGTACGCCTCTTTTTACGTAAGTTGTTGTGTACTAGTAAATATTTCAGCACAGGCACAAGCAAGGTATTCTCTGGGTACTGATAGCAGCTCATGTCCTTATATTTGGAATTCAGTGTATTAATGAGCTCTCCCGTTCCTGGCAGCTATGCCTGGAGAGGGAGAAACATACTTGGCTCGTAGTTTCAGAGGACTGAGTCCATGGTTATGTGCCAGTGAGGCACAGTACTCGGGACAGAAGGGTCTGCAAGAGTGGACGGCACAGTTCATGGCAGCTGGATGTAAAGCCACCAAGAGCTGCGTGTTCCCAGGGCCAGCCACATAGTGATCTGCCTTCAGCCGGGACCCCCACAGCGCATCTCAGCTGTGAACCTCAGCGCATGAGTGCATAGTGGAGTATAGCGCCCTGTGACCCCTTCACCTTTCTCCTGTTGAAATCCAGTCAACATTTAAACTTAACCTTTCAGTTTTCCTGATAGAAAGACCTTGATTCACATTTGATTGCCTTGCACACTGTTAAATACCGTCTTATATTTGTGATTGAAATACATGGTGAATGTTTTTTAAAATTTATTACAGAAGAAAACACTGCCATTCATCTCTCAAAATATTCCCTCTTGTTTTGAACACACTTCCATCACTGTTCCCACTTTCTGAAGTAGTTCTAGAGTTCTTTTTTGTGGCTTTTACAAAACATGGTCAAAAATACGGTGAATGTCACTGTGGAATGTCCTCCAGAGGGAGGGCAGCCCTGTAAATCCATCATAGTGCTTTCTTCCACCTTCCTCACCAAATCTGGCATGGGGTGACTTCCAGCTCTTCTGTGAACTCACAGTAATCATGAACAGTAAACATTTTGAATCAACTCAGGACATCAAAGCAGCCAGGACAGCACAACTAATGACATGGAAGAGAACTTCCAGAACTGCTTCACAAAGTACCAACAGGGGCCACAGCACAGGGGCACAACACTGCATGGCAAGGACAAGGTTCTTAGTTAGGTTCCTGGTACCAAAAAAAGAAAAAAAGTAGCAAGAATGGTGGAATGGCTGTGCTTGAATTGACAAGGGAGTATCTTGAGGGGGATTAATAACAATCTGTCTTTTACTGTAATAATTGTAAAAAAATGTTTAATCTTTCCTATTTTTCAGTCATACCTATTTCAATTTCTTTGGTGTAAACTTTAAGTCTGATGGTAAATCCTGCTTATTGCCCAGTCCCCAGACCTTTCTGCATGATGTTCAAAGGCTTTGTCCCAGTAGTTCTGTGTTCTCAGGTAGTGCTTGCTCTTTCAATTTGTAATTTTCTGTTCACAAGAATTCACAGACTTTTTTTAAAAAGCTGTTAGACGTGGTGCACACACCTGTCCTCCCAGCACTCTGAGAGACTGAGGCAGGAAGTCATGACATAGCGCTCAGCCTGGGTAGCTCAGTGACTCAGCAGATCTTTATCTTAAAAATAAAAAGTACTAAAGGCTGGGGATATAAAGCATTGCAGAGGCCTTGATTCAATCCCCAGTCCTCAGGGGAAAAACTTAGGATTTGCCCTCATGCCTTGACTTGTTTCTCCAGGTGTCTGGATAGTTGTTTGTCTGTCTTCATTTATCACCTTGTCTTTAATCTTTTTTTATGTCTGACGTTTTCCATTTTTGAAACTTCACCAGCTGTTTCTTTGAAGTGCTCTTGAAATTATTTATATTTGAATGATTTTTTCTTTTGTATATAATTTGATGTCAAGTTCTATCATTTCATTTTTGAGCTTTTCTTGTTGTACTTATATCTGATATTTTTATCGTTAGCTTGCTCGAAGATAAGATCCCTAGCTGCCTCTGTGCCTGGGGTCCAGGCCGGCAAGGCATGTGGCACCATCACTCTGTTTTTGAATAGCTTGTAAGGAACTTGACGTTGGTCATCTTACGCTACTCATTTTACGTGCAGTTAGTTTTCCTAAGCTTGTAGAAAGACACATAGTTGAGGCAGACGACATGGACAAAGTTAGAAGTGCTTACTTCACTGAGCATGTTTTATTGTTTTTTGCTTGTTGTTTTATTGTTTTCATGTAGCATTTAAAAATATGAAAGTGGCCTGGGGATATAGCTCAGTGGCATGAGAGCCTGCCTGGCAAGCACAGGCCCCAAGTTTGATCCCCAGTACCAAAAAACCAGACAGACAGACAGACAGACAGACAGACAGACAGACAGACAGACAGACACTTTCTATTGTCTCTGGGCTCCTGTTTGTCTCCCATCTGTACCTGCCTTACTCCCATGCACCCCCGCCCCTGCCCTTGCCTCGGGCATCTCTTCACTGGTGTTTCTGGCCACTGGGGCCCAGTTTTCCCTCTGCTCTTAGCAGAAGGCGTCCCCAGCTGGTCAGGGAGGAGAGTTTATAAGGGGCAGCCGCTTGGCCGCTGCAGCAGGAGGAGGCCGTGTGTAGTCTAACGCTGTCAGAAAGGGTGGAGCCTCTTCCTGGTTTCAGCGACATTTGTTAAGACGGAGCTGTTGCTGGGGAGACAGCTCAGTAGAGTAAGTGCTTGCCCGGCAAGTGCAGGACTGGAGCTGCTATTCTTTCCTGGAGCTCTAGAAGAAAGCCACAACCTTCAGAACAGATAAAAAATCGATTGTTGATTTCAGGTCTATCCTGTGTCCATCGCTGTCTTCCACTTAGTTCCATTCACTAATGACAGCCAGATCTGTGGCTGTTGATGGCCTTTTCCACCTCTCAGTATTTTGGGATTCAGTAGAATAGTTTTCATCAAGCTCAGTTTTTAATGGTTTGTGTTTTCCTGCCCACTTCGCTTACCGTGAGGGTGTGTACTCCTCCCCTACCGCTGTGAAGCCGTGTGAGCACCACCACGGCCTGCATCCTGTCTCAGGTTCTGCAGTTACAGCCCTCACTGTGTCTTGAGCTCCCGGCCCGTGAGCTGTCAGATGTGCCGAGTTCTCGTCTCGCAGTGCTGAGAGTGGGCTTGAGGGCAGAGGAGGTTAAGAGTTAGAAAGAGGTTTTTGAGACAGGAGGGGCTGTGAAAGGAGGCTGCTGCTGAGCCTCTGTGTCCAAGAATATCTTACATAGCAGAATCACAGCCTGCGTGACTGGGGGTCAAACTACAATGTACTGATGGGATTTTGAGTGTGGTTGCATAGCTAATAATGATCTAATGCTTGTGAGGGTGGAGCAAGGGTTTACAGTAGTTGACATCATTAACGAGTTTATCAGTACCCTTTTAATGTAGAATAAAAAGCCTTCATGGAAAGGGATGGGAGCGTGTCGGGTTCTGGTCACCACGTGCATGAAGTGGGCCAGCGGGGCTCACTGGATCAGGTGGTGCTCAGGGCCGTGCAGCCTGGTCTACGTCTCGTCTCCTGACTCGAGGGCCTGACCCCTCTCTGACTGCCTATTAATTTGTCTGACTTAGCTGTCTGTAGTAAGTCTTTCTAACTTAAACCTGTCCTAGTTCTTTGTTTTCAGAAGCAGTCATTGTTACCAGATGCCCTTTGAAGCACGGTTAACTTTATCATTTTGGCAATCTTGAATTCAGAGGATTTCCTAGACTGCTAGTGTCAGAAGCCTCAATTTCTAGATTTTTAGTAACCCATTGTTGGTCAGGAGTGACAAATGGGTAAATTTGGTTTTCAGAGGTCTGAGTTATGATCAGTTAATTTTTTGTAAGAACAGTAACTGTTTCAGTATTTTCCTAATTTGTTTCTACTAGGGCTCTGAGAAGTGTGAGTCTTATACATAGGTCAGGAGCTAGGATAATGTTTACAGGTACTCATAAAAATATGCAGTCCAGAAAAATTGGACTTCTAGCCATAGTTTAACTTTACAGAGCACCAGATATTTTCACATGCTGTTCTATAGATACAGATTTAAGTCTTTGAGGATAGAGATGTTGATAGTGCTGTGTGCTTTTGTACCTGCTCTGTTTATTTAGAAGGAATTGTATGGGTTGGGCTTAATAGTGAGTGCTGAGGCAGGAAGACTGCTCACCTGAGGCCAGTGTGGGCTACATAGAGATGCCATGTCAGTAAAAATAAGGAGGGCTGAGGATATAGTAAGTGGTTGAGTACTTTACTAGCATGTGCAAGACCCTGGAAGAAAGCCAGAGACAACATAAACACAAGTATGTGCACACACACATATACAGCATTATGTGGCAAGTCACTAGGATTGCAGAACAGTTATCCAAGATTACACTGAAGTGAGAAGGCAGGAGTGGAGCAGACAGTGGCCTCTGCGCACCGAACTTCAGTCTGTTGACTAGTAGGAAGGGACATCTCCCATCAGGAAGTATGTGTGGTGACCCAGAGTTGCAGCAGCCAGCGTATATTCCTGTGTTGTAAGGAGCATGTCGAGGTGGGTGTGGTGTGGAGTTGCTGAGCCAGCCACAGCTGTGCAGTTTCCCTCATCACTGGTAATACCCTCATGCGTTTAGATGTTCCTGGATGTCCAGACAGTGGCTGTGTGTCCTTTGTGACTTCCTGTGATGTGTACCTTTCTCCAGGCAAAGGGTGGAGGTTATGAAAGTGAAGATGCTTATCAGAATGCAGAGCTCGTTTTCCTGGATATCCACAATATTCATGTTATGAGAGAGTCACTACGAAAACTGAAGGAGATCGTGTACCCGAATATTGAGGAAACTCACTGGCTGTCTAACTTGGAGTCTACACACTGGCTGGAGCATATTAAGGTGGGTATATTTGTCTTTTTTTTACACAGAGGCTTTGTGTCTGTATTGTAGACTTTTATAATTGAAATTAGAATAAAGGTACCTTCTACGAATTGAAAATTTGATACCCTTTTCAGAATTGGACTATTGAATTTGTATTTGAGTGAGTTTCCTCTGCTGTGCATTTGGTTCTGTTACACTACTACTTTCTTCCCCTCCTGAGTTCTCATCTGTCAGATACCATTTTACATTCACTTCTTCCTTAAATCCTGCCCAGACTGAACCTATTTTTCTCTCATCTCTCCCTTCCCTTTTTCTATTTAATCACTTAATACCTTTCTTCATCTGCTTTCATAGGTCAACACATACTGCTGACTCTTGAAGACTTGCACTGGATAAATGTTTCTTTCTTGTCATCCTAGAAGTTAGGGCATCGCTATGTGTGTAAATATTCCCTGCATGCTTTCTAAAGCTCCCTTTCTGCTTAGAGAAATGAGGTGGAGGGGTTGAATGGAGACAGCTTGAGTGTTAGCCACTAGGAGAATACCAGATGAATGTACTCAGCATGCTGACTGACTGACTGAAGCACCAGGCTCAGTTAATACAGTTACATATTTTTGGAAATGCCCTACATTTGGTAATATAAATTACCAAGATATAAACCACCGTATATTAGGAAATAAGGAATACAATTTTTTTATGTTCAAAAGGAGATTTGTACTCCCGTTACAATTCTAAAATTAAGAGAACTGAAAAGCCAGACTGGAGTAATCAGGTATAATTACAGACTATTTTATTGCTGTTTTTCTTCAAGAAGCTTTACAGCCTGAATATGGAGCACGTGGACACTACTCAGGGCATGTTCCTGTGGCCCAGCTGTCGTGCTGAGAAGCAGATCTGTAGGTTGACCTGAAACATGTCAGTGCTGTGTGTGCTTCCTGAAATCCCTGGCCATCTCCCTAGTGAGCACTTTGTCTCTGAAGGCTGACTGTGGCAGACACAGGTCTGGCCTGCAAGACAGCCTGGCAGGGCTGCTTCCACCAACATGGCTTACCTGTCTGTTTGCTCTTAGAGCTCTGCTCAGTTATCACTTTTTCAGAGAAGCCTTTCCCAGCTGTAAACTGGACCAGCAGTAGCTGACATCCATCTGATAGCACAGCTTGCTTGCTTGCTTGCTTGCTTGCTTGCTTGCTTGCTTGTGTCTGGCTGGGCTTCCCCAAACACAGAGCTGGTACTTCGTTCTCTTCACTGCTTTAGTCCCAGCACCTGTAGCAAGCGCCTGCCACATGGCATGGGTTCCATAAAGGTTGCAGAACGAGGGCAGCCTACTGTGGCTAGTTCCTGACCTGTCCTAACTTGAGTCCATGTACACACTTGAACATTGAGTTTTTTAGTGGTACAGCTCAGTGGCGTAAGCACCTGCTTGGCAAGCGCAAGGTCCTGAGTTTGAGCCTCAGAACCCCCCGCAAAAAAATTAAAATAAGTGACAGGATCACTGCAGAATGGGACACAGGCACATTTTCCTTAAATGCACATGAGTAATATGTAGTCATGTTTGCAGTTGTGTGAGTGTACGCTATTTCCAGAATGTGCGTAGTGTTACAGGTAGGACTGTCACAAAGTTTCCAACCCTACCCTTTCCATTCTGATGTTAATAAGACAGTGCAGTTACTGTAGAGAAGAATGGGACTGTATTGTTCAGTTAAGGATATTTTAGTTTTGTGTGTGATTACATCTATCTTTTTTTTTTTTGTTTTTTTTTTTGGCGGAACCGGGGATCGAACTCAGGCCCTTGCACTTGCCAGGGAAGTGCTTATTCCACTGAGCCATCTCCCCGGCCCTTGTGATTACATCTAAATCTGTTTAATTTTTAGTCAAACTTTTCAGAAAAGTTTATTTTGCAAAGGATTTCTGAATATGTATCAAACCAAAATTTTTTAGGTACCATGTAAATTCATGATATGAGAATTTTTATGCATATTGTTAAAGGAGAATAGCTTACTCTAAGTTTATACTATACTTGTGATGTGTTCTAGGACATAAACTTTTTTTAAAAATATGTTTAGGACAGGGTCTACGGGGTCTGAATATGTAGATCGGACTTGTAGTGATTCTCCCGTTTTCAGCCTCCCAAGCTCTGGGATTACAGGCGCGTGCCACCATGCCCAGTCTCAGTTGCCGTCTCAGTGCACCCCAATCCACTGAGCTATCCAGCTGGCCCTAGGAAATAAACTCTTTAATTGCTATAGAATATTTTAAAAGATCCATCATTACTCCTTTCATGTAACTTTTGTTTTAAATAAGGCTTAAAGATAAGGCTTTAGCTGGTACAACAACTATTTTTACTTAAACAGATGTTGTTAGAATTATTTTATGACTTTTTTCTTTAGAACTTAAGAAAAAAGTCCTTGTATTGTTGACTTGTTTAGTACCTGGGTCACCTTTCGTTAGTGTACTGTGCTTCATGTGCAAAGTAATAGGAGTCTAAGTTGGTGAGACTGTCGAGTTTTAAATGACAGTTCATGGGTTTTCTACCACTTATAACAATTATTTGTTTTTCCATGTTCAGGGAGTCATCCCTGATAAAACTATTATCAGTAAAATTTTCTCTGCAGTCCTGGGGATTGAACCTGGGAAGGAATATTTAATATTTTAAAACCTTAATTTGGGAAAATCTATTTTCCAGCTTATTCTTGCAGGAGCTCTCCGGATTGCCGACAAGGTAGAGTCGGGGAAGACTTCCGTGGTGGTGCACTGCAGTGACGGTTGGGATCACACAGCGCAGCTGACTGCACTTGCCATGCTCATGTTAGATGGCTACTACCGAACCATCCAAGGGTTTGAAGTCCTTGTGGAGAAGGAGTGGCTCAGCTTTGGACATCGATTCCAACTAGTGAGTGAGGAGCTCAACTCCCAGTACACTGATCGTTTATCTGGGAGCATGATCTTGGGAGAACTGTTGTGTTTCTTTTGCAAAGTAATAGAATATCGTAATGTGACTGTGTTTTGCATCTGGTCTGGGCTAGCACTTGTGAAGTCTGTCTGCATTTATATGACAGACGAGACTCACTGAAACCTGGGAGTTTGGGTCCCTGGAAAACGGGCCGAGCTCTTGGCTGTAGTGCTGGCAGATGAGTCCTGCAGTCAGGTCTGAGATGCCGCCATAGTATCATGAGTGCTGTCTACACATGTTGTGTTTCCCTTCTGAAAGACCATTTAGGATTAGTATGCAGCTTATGTAGCGACAGAGCCCTCATGGTTATCATTATTTCTGTGCTAGAACTTGAAAGGTGGTTGTTTCTTAGAAGCTAGCTATAAGGTGGCATCCAAAACCCAACATTTTTTGTTTTTGCCCATTATATTCCAGTCATGTTTTTATGTTAGGTAATATTTTACACATGATTTTGTAAATCATTGGTTATCTGGAAAATGCTGGCTTAACAAGTTACACAGATAGCCCAAACATTAATGCATTTCATAGGGAAGCATCACTAAAATTCACATTCATTAGTGTCATCATTGACTTTATCAAAAGTATGTCATTGTGGTAGATAAGAATTTTCTAAAAATCTCATTTTCACTCGAAAGTTTGTTTCTTTACTTGGAGGGGGTTGAGAGGTCTTGCTGTATAGTTCAGGCTGGTCTTGAACTACCATGTATGTAGCCCAGGCTGCCCACAGACATGCAGCAGCCCTCCTGTTTGTCTCCTGAGTGCTAGGAACACAGGCACGCACCATCATGCCTGGCGTCAGAGGCTTAATTAGAGTTAGTGATACGATTTTATTTTTTAAAAAGTATCTGGCTGATATTCAATCTTACCAACCTTAGTTGATACACAAATTCTTAGAAAAACTAATGTTTCATGACAGGTATTTTTTGCTGTCATGCGTCAGTGTGCACCAGACACAGTTTTCTTTGGGTGTCAATGTCAGATGGGGCACGATACCTTTGCTTGGCTCCTGCTGAGGCAGCACCAGTTTTATCCTGCATTGCTTTTTTACTAAATGCCATGACAGTGGAAAGGTCAAATAAGGTTTTGTAGTAGGACTTTAAAAGAGCTTGGATCTGAACATCCCTGGAAGCCTATCACCAAATTGGGCCTGGAGTCCGCTCCTTGGGTCGTTACTGGTCTTTAGGGGCTGGTTTTTATTTAGTAAGCAGTGTGGTGATTCCTGTTGCAAGTACCTCATTTCAGAAAAATGTAGGAGTTTGTACATGAAATTGTTAAGAGGTATTTCTACTTGGTAGAATTATGCTGATTTCTACTTCCTTTGTAGTGCTATTTAAAAAGGTTTTTTTTTTTTTAATTTAAAAAATACTAAACACATACTGCCTTTAAAATTTTTCTATTAAAAAGGGAAAAATCCTAACATTTTACTCTACTTGCTGCAGAGAGTTGGCCACGGAGATAAGAACCATGCAGATCCAGACAGATCACCCGTTTTCCTTCAGTTTATCGACTGCGTCTGGCAAATGACAAGACAGGTAACTTAGTTTACAGCCTCCTTCCAGCTCAGCCAGGGGCGGGGCGGGGCGGGGCGGGGCTCTGGTCAGTGCTGCCCTGTGCTTCGTGCGGAAGGGAACCGTTCTAAGGACATTCTACTCAAAGCAGTTAGCACCACTACTTAGGTACAGGTATTTGGTAGCGGTGGGTGATTTTTAAATATTTTAGTTTGATTCATTAGCATTTCAGTGAGTGCCACTGATACTATGTGGCTTCCTTCTTTGTTTTAATTAAAGTGTTAAATCGAAGCTTACAAGTGCATTGGGAAGGGAAGTAAAGCAATGTTAGCACTCAAGCCAAATAAAATTTTATTCCAAATAACGAACTGTTTTAAGGAAAGTTGTGCTTGGATAGATATTGTAGCAGGGTAATAACAGATTCAGTTGTTTTTAAGCATGGAGAAAACTATGGTTTTTAAATATTCTAAAAGCTTTGTAATATTTATTTGAAATATTAATATAAATGAATTTCATTTTTTGAAAATATACCAGAGGAAACCAAAAAATACTTGGTGTATTACAGGAGGATAAGGGTTAGTGCTTTAAAAAGAAAATAGAGTCCGTCATACAAAATTAAATGTTTCTTTGGTAACATGCTTTTTAGTGGCCTCTTAGCTATCTCGCTGTTTACCTGTGATACCTTGTATTTCTGAACATATATACAATCTGAACAAAGCAAAGAATGCTTGAATTCAGTGCAGAGACTTGCATAGCCGGTTCTTAGAACAGGGCTGGTGTGCTAAGCGTAGCTACACTGAGTCTGCACAGTCCCACGCAGGTCCCGTCTCCTCACCTGGGGGTCGGCAAACGGCTGGTGAAAGGCCCTTCATGCTTTACCAGGTAAAGACAAAAGCAGTAGCAGAAACTGCTGCTGTGTCAGTTCTGTTGAGGACGTGTTCTCTGATGAGCTTTCTACCACTTGGTAGCAGTAGGTTTGCTGAGTGACTGGGACTGCTGCTCAGTCCATCCCTTGGATTAAAGGGGTCTGTGTTTACACTGGTCTAGAGGTGGGGTTCTTGAAGTATACCCAGCTGGCTTTGTTACTGGCATCTGTGTGATTACCTGCTTTGTTCAACTTCAGAACCACAAGATTTACCCAGGGCCCACTACGCACCTCCGCTGTCTGAGCAGCCTACTGAGTTACCTCGCCTTAGCCTCTATAGTGAAGTATGTCAGGCCAGCCTATTTCCTCCTTGTGCTGCCAACAGTTCATGCTATTTTCATCCACTGTGAGGTTAAGGGCTTGCCCTGGTTGGCAACCCAGATGTTCATGTAGTACTTTTCGACCATCCTATAATTCCGACCATCCTGTAATCTTATGTAGAAGCTTGGGCTAATTCTAAAATGTTGATAGGATGGGTTAAACTATTTATTTTAAGGATCCTTTGATTAGACCTCTAGCATTACATTGTGTAAAGTTAGGAGGACCTCTGAGAGCCAGGGCCTTGCTTAGAGAGGGGGTGAGTGAGTTCTCTTCTCCTTAGCAGGGCGCTGCCAGAGTAGTGGATTCTGAGAACTCTGATTTGGTAAGGACAGCCCTTGGAAAGCTAAATAGGTTGATGCTTTCTGAACACACAGTTGATACGTTAATTCCTAAGGCAAACCTATGTTTATGTAATTGAAAGTTTAAAGAAAAGTCTTACTATGGACAGGTGAAGACTGGATTCCCAAAACTTGCTTGGAAGCAAGGTTAAGGTTTAACAGAAACAAAATAGAAAATCTGGGAGACCTTAGCTCAGAAAAGTAATTTTTAGGGGGCCGGGGAGATGGCTCAGTGGAGAAAGTGCTTCCCTGGCAAGCTCAAGGGCCTGAGTTCAATCCCCGGTTCCAAGGGGGGAAAAAAAAAGTAATTTTTAACAGAAAACTGAGTATACAACCCAAGAAAACAAAGATTGTAGTTCTGAATGTTGTTAGACTTCATTTTAAATACCATTATGGAGGATCTACTCATGAAAAGAATGAAAATACTTGGGAAAAAATGTCTTCATTTTATGCACTTATGGGGTTCCCTTTGCAGTTTCCTACGGCATTTGAGTTCAATGAGTATTTTCTCATCACCATTTTGGACCACCTGTACAGCTGTCTGTTCGGAACATTCCTCTGTAATAGTGAACTGCAGAGAGGGAAGGAGGTAAGGCGAGCCCCGCCCTTCCGCCCCTTTGCTGTCCTTACTCTGTACTTTGCCCTCGAGAATGCAAAGTACAGATGATTTCAAGTACAGTTGTTCTTTCAGATACTATCTTTGGTCCTGTTTTGTCTTATTTGCTGTACTTTACTTCTGTGATCTGGCTCAGTGTGATGTATTCTGAAATACCTGTCATAACACTGAAGGTGCCTGGTGCAATCAGCTGAGTGCATTAGGCAGGACGCTTGCTGAAGAGAGCTCAGCTGTGTAGAGGACTTCAGGATTAGCAGTGCTCCTGTTTCCCTGAAGGATAGAAACCCTTCAGAAATAGAGAAGACTATGAGACAACACCCACATCTCAGCGTATATTCTGTATACAAGTAAGACAGTGAATCACGTGTTCTAAATTGTAAAGTTACAGCATAGAACATTCAGGTACTAAGCAGACACACACGTTTCTGAATGACTGGATTCAAGGGGTCGCAGTGTATTTCCACTGGTCTGGAGGTGGGGTTCTTGGAGTGAATCTCTTCTAGAGCTCTCACTGTATTGCAAGGACTGTATCTGCAGTTTTTATCTTCAAATCACACCTTGATGAACACTGTGTACCAACTTTCATTCTAAAAAAACTTACTGCCACAGCCTAAAGGAAGGTGTATTGTCTGACATCTCAAGGGACTCAGATCCGTGGCCTACTGGCATCCAGAGATGGTACAGCAGGATAGAGAGAGTGGCCCAGAACGCAGTGTACCCACAGCCTGGTCACCTGAGAGCCACACTGCTAAACACGTGAAACTGGGGGCATTTTAGATTTGTGCTAAACAATAAAAAGTTTACTTTTGCTTCTTTAATGGTGCTGTGGTGAAGATTAAATAAAGCTATTCAGAATACCACAGTCCTTCCTAGTGCATGAAGTGCTTTCAATGCCTGCCATTTAGTGAAATTATTTCCATGTGCAGAAGGCACAATTTAGGGACCATCAGATAATTGAGAGTAATAGTTCTAATTACATCGTGAGAGGACTCATTACATCTTGAACAATCTTTTACTCAGCTTACGTACCGCAGGTGAAGCCTTTCTGTGCATTTAATGGTCTTCAGTTTCTAGAGCTGTGTAAACATTACCATTTCATTTCCGAACGTTTTCATCAGTCCAAGTCCCACGTTAAGTTCGCTCCTCGTCAAACCCCGTTGTCTTCCAGCATCTGCTAAATACTGCCTTGCTTGCTGTCCTCTGCAGATTTGCCCAGCTCAAGCGAAGTCGTTTACGAAGTCACCGCTGTGTCTGGCTTTCACGTACACTTCCTTCAGGGTTCATGTGTTGAGGCAGGGACCGTTTCTTTTTATTGCTGAGTACCGTTCCATTACAGGTTTTTTATTCGTGTACATGCATCTGATGGGCTCATGTTTTGGCTGTTACCTGGATACCATTTGGAGCTTTTGAGCTTTATTAAGCACAGAACTGCTGGGCAACTTACGTTCAGCTCGGGGACTTGGACTTTTCCAGTGCCCCTTGGCTTGTAGTGTAGTGTTCAAGTCTATGCCTTTTCTGACCATAAAATACTTTTATACAGATTTCATCTGAAGTGTAGCTTATGGTAGAGTATCTGTATTTTTCTCTCTTACAGAATCTTCCTAAAAGGACTGTGTCTTTGTGGTCTTACATAAATAGCCAGCTGGAAGACTTCACTAATCCTCTGTATGGGAGCTATTCCAATCACGTCCTTTATCCAGTAGCCAGCATGCGCCACCTAGAGCTTTGGGTGGGGTATTACATAAGGTGGAATCCACGCATGAAACCACAGGTGCGTACTTACAAGGTGGGATCTTCATGGGAGATGTTATCTGTGGCCTGTAAGACACCTGCAAAGCCATGCGTCTGACTAGAGCTTTCCACTCCACCCGTGTCCCTGGGCAGATCACTGGTGCTGTGCCTTCCTCCTCCCTCTGGTTCTCTTCTGGGAACCTTGTTTCATCGTGTGGAAGCTTTAGGAAAGTTAAGTCGATAAAATTGTGGTACACGGTAACTATTATCAGATATTTAAAAACTGTTCAAGGCTAACAATCTGCAACTAAGTGATTTGTAAAAGTACCAGTTGCAGGAGTGTTTGGGAGCACTGGGAAAGCCAGGGAAAGAGCAGTGGTGACAACATCTGAAATTAATTTCTACTGAGGCTTTGAAAATCAGTGGAATAGATTGCAACGACTGGGTTTGGCTAGGGTTGCCAGGTGAGTAATTTTATGTTCTGTTCTTGTAGGAGCCCATTCACAGCAGATACAAAGAACTTCTGGCTAAGCGAGCAGAGCTTCAGAAAAAAGTAGAGGAACTACAGAGAGAAATTTCCAACCGCTCCAGCTCCTCCTCAGAGCGAGCCAGCTCTCCTGCGCGGTGTGTGGCTCCTGTCCAGACAGTGGTGTGAAAGGACGGACAGGGGCATCACTGCTGCGACCTTGTCGTGACGCAGCCGTATGAGTAGAAACACTTCTGTGTCTCAACTCATCTGTGAGAAAGTCCAGATGCTTTATTTATTTTGTCTAAGATGAGTTTAGAGCTACAGCACTATGGGTGACTTCATTTGTAATTACACAGTTATGACACTAATCTTATGTCACCCAAAAGATTAAAATGTTTCAGTTCTGTATCCACAGTGAAAACAAGTTTCTAATCTAAAGGGAAAACTTTAGGGTCTGGTAAGAGCAAAGTACAAACTAGTTTAGAAACATACCTCTGGATGGAAGAATGTTCACTGCACAGAGGAGTAACAGTTTTCAAACCAAATCAACATTAAAATTCTGTGGTATCCCTTATATTGCCTTTATGTATGACCAATTAAAATCATGACATTCCTTTTCCTTGTTGTAACTGATGGATGCACTTTTCAGCCTCCACGCTTAAGAGTACGGGGCAGACCTGAGGATGTTAGGGTACAATGAAAGCCCAGTGTTCCCAGCAGCTGTTCCAAAGCAATGCCTTACAGAGCTGCTGTGGGAGGACGAAGGGGACAAAGCAGCAGCCATTGTGGATGGAAGGAATTCCCTGTGCTCCAGTTTGTCCAGGTACAAGTAGCATTATGAAAGTGTTTTAGAAACTCAACTATTTTACTTTTTTACTTAAATGCTAATTGGTAAGTTCTAAGGCAATATGGACTTTTAAGTCAGTCTGAATAGCTTATTGTGGTAAGTACTGTGCTCAAAATTTGTATGAATTAGTTTACTACTGTTTTCCTGGCAAATTCTATCATCCCATCAAATGATTACATCTACCAAAGAATATACTGCATGTAAAGATGAATACAATCTCAATGCCAGTAAAAGAAATCTTGTTTCACTGTTCGAATGCCTGAGTTTGGTGCTGGTATAAACATTTGACTCTCTGATGTCTACTTTATATAAGAGCCATATGTAATGTACTGTAACAAAGGAGCTTCTTATCCCTTGGTCTTTTAATTAAAAGAAATTTCAACTAATGTAAACCTTTGTCCTTGTGCCGAGCGGTTTATCTTTCTTGAGGCAGGGTCTTGCTGTGAAGTGGAAGCTGGCCTCCCATCCACAGTGGTCCTTGTGCCTCCACCTGAACGCTGGATCACAGCCCGGGATTAACCTCACCGCACCAGGCTATTCACTGTCGTGACCCCTAGAGTGTTACTTAGACACGAAGAAGGAGCATTTGCTGTGAACAGAGCTGCTTAACCCATCAAACACCATACAGCAGCCTATACTAACTCAGCAGTATAACTTTAGCTCTATGTTCAATTTACAATAAAGACACATCTAGTATTCATAAAATTGGTCACTGGGTGAAATTGGTTGTAAAACATATGAACAGGTAAATTTAAGTGGCTAATCAGGACTAAAGCTTAAGAGACTCCAAATGCTTCACAGACCCATTCTCTTCCATTTTCCACATTTATGCCTTTGGATGTGGTCTGAAGAGGGAATCCTGAACAGATCAAAGCCTTTGACATAGTATCGATTCTTATTTCAAATTCCACTCCAAAGTCAGGGAATCTTTGTTCAGACTTCACATTTCTGTTGGAGATATTCCCGTAGCTTCCCTACCTGCTGCAGGAAGCCTTCTGGGCAGCGTGGGGTACGCATGTTTGAGCCTCCACGAAGTTCCTGCACCCTCCCTTCCTCACCCCCGTGTTGCTGCAGCAGTGCACTGTGCAGGGCTAAGTCAACTGCCCCGAGTCTCTGGCGTACACTGCAGCCACAGTAAGTCCCGCTGCAGCCCGAGTGGGTGGGCACCTCCCACTGTAAACTAACGTCAGCAGTACTCTGCTCTCAGGAGCTGCATGCTGGCGTGGGCACAGTTTGAAGCTTACCTGAGGGATGGGTTTAGCATCTTTCACTCTCCTAATTAGGACCTGGCAACAACCACTTAAGGGATATTTCTTACAACTTAATGACCTATAAAGCTCAAAACAAGATAATAAGAGTTTAATAGTTGAAATGGAAGATGAGAGGAAATACTTACCAGATAATTGAGCCGTTTCTTACCTTTCTCTGGTCTCTAGTTTCAACCTTAATTACTCCAAACCTGCTCGTCAGAAAATTGTACACATAAGCAGTTTACATAGTTTCAGGAGATTCACAGACACCTCAAACATGCAAGGATGCTAAACGAAGGCGTCCTAACTGAAGAAAATGTAACAAGACCTGACAAGCCTCTAGAAATCATTAGTGATGAAAGCAAATGCAGGTTGCGTGGCGCACTGTACCCCCCAAGGCACAGACGGACCTCCTTTCCACCTGCTGGTCAGCCCTCCAAAGGTTCTTACGTATCAGGAAGTGACCCTGGCTTCTTGGGCTTAGGTTCTATGTGAGCATGAGAATGGCAGAGTCAAGTAGTGGGTACTATGTGCAGCGTTACTGTTTTTGAGAGTTTACAATAAATACAGCCTTTGTTAACAAGCTAAGTAAAAATTGTTTCCTTAAAAAACTGCTTTATTGACTCCAGTGGCAAATTTATCAAAAGCTAACATGTTTCGATCTACTCAGATTCACATTGCTGTGACAATTATGTGAGCAGTTCCCACTGCACTAATGTTCTATACCAAAAACATACAAGGAGTTTCAAAATTAAAACCAGTGCCTCACCTCACATGATTATAGGCAAGTACTGCACATGCGCAGACTGCCCAACAGCTCCCTTCTGCTGCTCTCACTGTTCCAGAACCTTATTTCATTCACAATCTTAAGTTTATAATTTTATAGGTAAATGATATAAATGATTTCTTGGATCTGTAAAAATTTCACCAATGATTAAAATATCAAAAAAGCAAAATCCTCTTAAATATATAAATACTTAAATATAGAAAAAACATCGATAGTCAAAGTAAAGATATTTAATAGTTGTATGAAAAAAGGGAAGTGGGCCCTTGATGCCAGGGAGGATCAAAGAGACTTCAAGCAAATGCTGCCTGTGGGGCTGGCCTTGAATTTGGAAAATTTAAACCTAATTTATACACACGTATCTGTATATATATAAAAGTTTTTTTAAAAAAATCACACCCACAAGTAAAAAACTTGGTAATTTGTTTACAAAGTGCAACATACCAGAACAGTGCATTCATCCTAGAAAACGTGCAGGTCTAAAACTCGCTGGGTTCCCCTTTATGTACATGGTTTAAAATGCAGCTGGCCGCGTGACACCAGCGCCTGTGTCATGAGGCCTTGGCCTTAATACCTGCTATTCATTCGTTCCGACGTAAGGCTTTAACCCGGAAAGTAAATTGCCAATATCTGATTGATGAGGTACAGATTATCTGAATAAAATTTATGACCTGTGGTGAGCAGTTAGTAATCCCAACACACATTACTACTTTGTAATAAATTCTGTATGGTCTGCATGTCCTTCAATAACTGAAGATTTTTCTTGCTTTTTTCTCCGGGTCTCACTTTGGCAAAGTCCTTTTTACTTGTGGTCCCTGTGGCCCCAGACGACCGGCTGCTGCTACCGCTTCCTTCTTTCTTCTTTTCTGGCTTCGGCCTCTCCTTCTCCAGCTACACCGCATAACCGAGGCGGAAAAGGAGAACCCGATGAAAATGTTATTTAACCGATGGTCCTTACATAATAAGCAAGAAAGGAAACAAGCGAACAGTGCTGTCCTGTGCAGAGCGGGGGGTGAGGAGCTCGGGAAGACGACGACAGGCTGAAGCAAAGCAAGCCTAGGAACCACGCGCCACAGTGCAAGAGGCACATTCCAGATGACGAAGAGATGGCAGTGCATTAATAGGAGAGAGATTCTTAATTGTATTATTTTTGGAAAAATTTAAGGGCAGAACTTTTACTTTAGCTAACCTGCTACTGACATGTTGGTGTTCCATTAGAATAAAGCTAAGTCTTACGTATGAAAGTAAAACTATTAATTACGCCTGTAGGAATTATTTGCTTCTATTTCTTGAACATAAACATTGGAAAAACCAGTACTTTAAAAAAAAAAAAAAAGCCCGTATTTTGGACTTGAAAACAACCGAATTTGCACACTGGCTCTGCTACACCTGACCTATTCTGTCTTTGGGCTACTTACTGAATTTTATGGAGGACGTCAGAGCTTCTCCAAAACCCTGGCCCCAGATTCCCCATCTGTAAGATGGGAACAAACAACACAAGACACAGTTCGCTGCCTTGTAAGGCTTTCTGAGTCAATTAAATGACATGACATTCAGAACCCTTGACATTGTGCCTGCTGAACATGTGGCAAGCTCGCTGGGTCAGCAGCAGCAGCCCTTCACACCACTTTCTGTCCGTGTTATTTCCAGCAGTAAATACCTGTGACTTCAATCCACACACACCTCACATCACCAGCTGCAGTGACTGTTACGGACCAGTAACGACCACCTCTGCCACCTAGCCTCAGCCTCCCTGGCTCAACCCAATCCTCTAGTCCCAGCAGGCACAGTAATTAAAAAACCAAAACATTCTGGATAAAGCCCTTGAGTGTAACTATAACATTATTCTTAGTTGGTATTAATGACTTTTTAAAGGAGTTACATAATGCTTTCCACATCACTCCTTTCAAAAGAATTTTTAGGTGCATTAAAAAACCCAAATGGATAAACTTGACCATTTAAGTTGGTCTCAGAAGTTAAGGCTTATACAAGACTGCTAATTTTCAGTACCTGAAAGCTGTATCTCACTGGTAAAGTCTAACTCATAGCATTTCTTGACTAATCCGTGTAGTATTCTTAGTACAGTAGTTAACTCAAAAATACGTGTTGCAGAGAATTAGCTCTGGTAACTCTTCATGATACACTTCTGTCATCAGCCAATCTATTTCTTTTTCTTTCTTTTTTTTTTTTTTTTTGGCAGAACCGGGGATTGAACTCAGGCCCTTGCACTTGCCAGGCAAATGCTTATTCTACTGAGTTATCTCCCCAGCTCCTCAAATAACCTATTTCAAGTGTTTTTAAAAATCATCAGAAACATGAGTGAAAGAAAACCGAGTTACCTGTGCTTGGTACTTTCGAACTTTAGTTATCTGGTTGGCTTTTGCTTCCATCCTTCCCACCAATGCCTCCAGTTCACACTCTAAGTTGTCTTTCAGTTCAGTGCTTGGTGACTCCTGAATTAGTTTTGCAAGCTGCTGGTGGTCACTACATACATAGCAAAAGCAGGCCTTGGTTAGTTTTCTCGGGTTTTACAACTTGGCTCACTGTATCTGAGCTCATCAAGGTGTGACTGCTGTTTTGGTATTTTCTTTTAAAAATTACTGTCTTAACAGATTTTGAGACTTTTATTCAAAGTTCAGGAAAGGCACTAGAGAGATGCAACAGTTGTCACTGTGACACTTCAGAACTAAGTTGGTATTATATAGTGACTGCTGGAGAAACAGTGCTTTTCACATAGCCTGAGAGTAAGCTTGTTCATTGAAGTTGGTCGCAGAAGCTAAGGTCTTGCATCCCTGTTTTCCAACGAGAGTATTACACACATGAATGGGCAACTTGAGGTGGAAACTGATCTTCAACACTACCCTAACCCATCACATCAGTTCAGTTCTGCTAACTTTAAATGTTTATCAAGCTCTCTAAATGCAAACAATGGTCTGTTAAACTTTTAACAGTATTAGAAAGGCGATTTTACCCATAAAGGTTATGTGTGTGAAGTCCTAGTTAAGGTGGGTGGTGCAAGAACTGTGCTTAAAATAATCACTGACTAAAACTAGCATTAAGTCAACAAGTAGCTAGAAAACAGATTGTGGAACTAAACAATCATAAGAACAAAAACTCACAAGCTCATCTGGCCAAACTCATCCTGTAGGGTCTGTAAGACTTCCGACAACTCTTCACTGATGCTGCTGGCACGGGGAGGGCTTGCTGACTTCTTGCTTCTCCCCCGAGAAGGGGCTTGTCTGGCCAGAGGAGTGTCACTCAGCACACGGTCATTGCACAGCGCCTTACTGTGCTGCTTCATCAGGTGCAAGACATGCTGCACGTTGGCCACCACGGCGTGGCTAGGACTGGTGGACTGCAAAGAGGGCACTGTGAACTTCGACTCCTTTTTCCTTTCTTTGTTAAAAATAAACTTTCCCACAGCCTGGGACATAAATGACTAAGTCATATGGACTCAACTTCAGAAGTATCTCCACCTTCCACACCATTGTTACTCATCTGGTTTATGGATCTACCTATTATAGAATTAACACCACAATTGGCCTTTTCCTCCAGTTCTTTAACTACAAGGCTATCAGTTATCCTCTTAAAATACTCTGATCCTACTTTCCTACTGAAATCCTGTCCCCATCTCCCTGAGCTGTAACCTGTACTTCCTGGCCTCATGTGCTGCCATCTCCTAATTTCTGTGTTGTGAACAAGTCCTGTCTGCAGATGACACTTCTTTTGCCTGGAGCTTTTATACTATTCTTTTAAACCTATCATTAACTTTTACCAGTTTCCTTAAAATTACCAGGCAATTAATAGGTTCAGCTCTTAGATTAACCACAAATGAATACTGAACACAAGTCCTTCACACTAAATAACATCTCTCTTCATTGTTTGGGTCAAAGTTTCTCCAAGACTGAACTTCCCAGATTACAGTCAAATCTGTGGCAGTCCCAAGGAGTTAGGGCCACATGCATATGCCACTGCGTCTGCTGTCATAGCATATTTCACAATATGCTGTTAGTGTGTCTGGATTATCTATTTTACCCATCAAAGAGTATACTTTCAGGCGGTAGACTTATGCTGAGTTTTTCTATTCATTAGTGAGAAACACTAAAGACATGCACGTTGCATAAAGAGGAAAAGCTGGTATCCTTTTTAAAGGATTAATATTCTGAATATTAATAATCTCAATATGCTTTTACAGCTTGTTTCCATAAATATCTGGGCTTGAATTCTGTCATCAAAGAACTTTTTATTTTCTTTTTTGCTCCGAATGCCCTCAGGGGTGGTTTGGCTGGCTGAAATGTTGTGGGGATCGAACTACAGCAACCTGAGGCTGACAGCTTTGTGTAAGCAGCCACTTAAAGGACTGAGCTAGGGCCAGGCCCCCCAAAGAACTTATTTAAAAATGTACATCCCCAGGCAGTTCCCCAAACTCAGTATGAGATCAGGGTGGGGAATTTTTATTTTGAAGCCCTCTAATGAGGTCTCACCGTCCAACTGGGAAGCCACTGTGCCCAAGAGAAGAGATGCTTTGCTTACTTTCTGCTGTCAACAAACTAAATGCAGCAGCACCTAAGAATAACTTTACCCCGTAAGCATGTTGGCTATAGTCCAGGCATGCCAGGTCAGTCCAATACCTGACAATCCATGTAACCACTTCTGCTGGGAACTATGTGCTCACCACCCTAATTGCCCATATGTGTACTTTCAATATGCAGTTTTTAAATTTTATGCTTCCTGTTATTTTTGTTTATATTTAATAATTTTATGTCTGTTGAATCTAGCAATGAGAGCACAAGTTAAGAATCTTTCTCTTTCGATCTGACCTGTTCAACCTTTATTACTGACTTCAATGAGAATTATTAAAGACAAATTTGAGGAAAAGAAGTATAGGAAGAATGAGATTATGAAGTGGGACAGGGTGACTCTATGCCCATAAAGTCTTCATCTGATCAAGTCCCCAGAAAATCTCTCCATGCACAGGACTCAACAGGGCTGACACCACGCTCCCAGAAGCACCTCTTCCCTCAGCTGACTGCGGAATCACGGGTGAGATCGTGTACCCTCCCATGTCTGTGCCTTAGGCCGATTGGCAGACAGCTTAGAACATGGCAGTCTATTCTGTGTCATGCTACGACTCAATGGAAGAAGGAAAAGCGTGCAAAGTGGCGAACACAAAGACCACATTGGATGAACAGCTGCAGAACACAAAAGTAATTTGTAAACTAGAATAGGATGAAGTGAGAAAAAGCTATCCTCAAACATTTGTAAATTTTCTGGTAGTTAAGGGTTAAGTTTTCTTATATGGATGCTTCAAATGGAAAAAGAAGCCAACATGTAGAATTTATTGTAACAGATTTCAATTCACTTCGTGAAAGAACTCGAAAATTTAAAAAAAAATCTAGAATTAAACAGGCCTGCTGTGGGGTCAGGATGTCATAGTAGTAGTGTTCAAACACAAAGTAGACTACTACCTTTGGTCTGAGTGTTTCTAGAATAAAAATACTGGAGATGGACTAATGAGATCCTAAGTTAACCAAATGCCAAACTGGAACTAGGAAACATTTAAAGCACTTTTTTGGCCCCAACCCCAGATCATTCTCATGAAGCAGCTTTCTGGTAGCACTTTATAGTGATTCTGACACAGCAAGCCAGTCCATGGAAGATTCAAGGGTTCTCTGGCAAAGCGAACAGTGTGTGGTAAGAGATGGAAGCAGCAGCCTAAGTGAAATGCCACACAAGCCAATGCGAGATCATACCCAAGGCAAAGGACAGCAACGACAAACATCTGTACCTCACATGCTGGCAAATAATAGCAGAAGAGCTAGAAAACTGTTCATTCCCCAAGCTACCTCCGAGCGCTTATTTATTCTGAGGTGGGGTCTCACTGTGGTTCAGAATGGCCTCAATCTCACAATCCTCCTCCTGAGTGTTGGGATTACCAACCTTATCACCACACCCAACTTGCCCCATTGAGGGTTCACTGCGGGTTGTAAGTCAAAAAATAGGTAAAAGTCTAAAGAATATTCAATACCCAACCTATTACAATTGACAATCTAGTTAAGCATTTAAGACACTTGCACATCAAACAATTCATTAAAGTAGAATGAACTGTTTGAATACCTAGAAACTGCACAGTACTTGTGGATAGTTTACAAAGCTATCTCTCCATTTAAGCACTAAAGGACACAAAGATCAGAGTCTGTGTACTGTGACTTCTCAGTGAATTACTATTGCCTGGTTTGGGCCACATAGGTGATACTTTTCATATGCAAATATAAATCAATAGGCTGATCTGCTCTGAAGCATCTTCCTCATCTCCTCCCATAACACCTGTCTCCACTGCATTTTTATTCTTACATTAGGGAGTAAATATTTCTGTCATTCACAAGCAAAGAAACACATGTAGATATAATTCAAATACATTACTTCCATCATACCTAAACCACCCAGCTTGACCAACTCACCTTCCCAGCCACAAACGGCATGTCACGTAAGCACAACCTGCAGTGAGGCTGTGCGCCCAGATAGTTCCTAGGTCCTTTCTGAACAGAAAGAAAAATAATATTTTATATACATGATAAAAAAGATGACAACATAAAATTATTATGAGACTGAGATTACTACAGATCTACTACTTGCTTAATCTGTACTGATATAATGGTCTTGAGCAAATTCCTAATAATACATCTTTATGTATCCTTTCCTAGGAAAGACCAGAAAAATTTTGAACAAAGTAATAGTTATACTGTAGTACTAAAACAGTACAAAGTTATATAAAGCACTGAAAAATGAAGGATCATTAATACAACACTGAGGAAGACTAATGATTTGCACATTACTCTGCAGTTCCAAAAGTTCGTATATATTGTCATTAGTAGGGTAAAAAAGCAGTGTATTTTATTCATCCTTCACTTGGTGAGTGAAGACACAGAATGAGAAATCCACCTGTTAGTGGATGAGTATTTTTACACAATGTTCCAGTTAGCACTTTGCCAAACTTTTTGCATACCTTTTCTGATGGTTTTGACTTCTTTTTTTTAATTTTTCTTGCAATAGGAGTACATGAAGTTGTTTTATCTTCAAAGATAAGTCTCTTTGTTTCTAAATCAGTCTGCAACTAGGAAAAACAGGACAGTCTATATAATGCTATAGAAATAAAAGCTATTAAAATTTGAGATCTACAATGTAAAAGCTTATGAAATCTAAACAGTACCTAACTAGAAAATAAGTAATACATTTATAACTGTAGAACCACTATTTCAACTTGTCAAATATTTTATAACACCAATCTCATCTTTTCTTGAACTTCTGTATTAACCATGTCCTTAATTCTGGAACCCAAATTTTAATTATCTGTAGTTGCTCCACAACTTCTATTTTAGTGAGTTAAATGCCATGTATGTAAGCTGATCATTTAATATTTTCCCTTTTCAAAACCAGTGTCTACCACAGTGCCACATACACAAAGCAATTGGAGCACAAAATACACAACTTTTAAAAACCATTCTAATAGTACTTACAAGGAAGAGGAACTGGAAACTTGTGTGCAAAGGCACCAGAGTCTATCTGAGTAAATATCAAGTCTTTTTCTCAAGAACCTAACATAATGAATGATACCTTATCTTTATGGCATAAATTCCATAAGCAATTAGCAAGTGCTTCAAAAAATGGCATGTTTTCATAAACCAACTTTCAACATTCTTCAAAATACAAATGAAAAACCTGACCTATAAAAATGGTTCTTTTAAATTTGCTATATCCAAATTGTCTGACATTTCAGAAAAAGTTCCAATTGTCAGGCTCCTCTCTAACATATAATGATTTTAAAGCTCCCACGTTGGAGATATTTATATTTTTCTAAGTACTTTAACAAGTTCCCCAGGAAATATGACAGAGCTAGTGCAACAATGAGAATCAATGGATTAAGCAAAACAACGTTGAAATCATGTGGTATTTTCCACAATGATTGTAGTTTTGGGAAGCAAAATATATTTACAGACACAGGAATGCAAGGATCTCCACCTCAGGAGCACCTATATGCTTTTCTGTAACAATTCTTTTACATACATCAAACATAAAGCTCAATGAGTAAGCAATTACTACTCTGGAAGACTTACGATGACAATGAGTGTGAGCAGTAAACAAAAGATGGTCTTATAATACAACTTCCACCTAGTTCTTCCTACAGCTGTTTTATACTTCTGAGCCAGAGTATTACCATTCTAAAATATTTTTCTATTATTAATCTCAGTTGATCTCTCAACACAGTAATGAAGGTCACTTTACCAATGGCAAAATCTAGGCTCTGAATGGGTAAGGTCCCTGCTCACAGTTGTACTCTACAGTTAGCAGACTTGAAACCACACAGCCGGAGCCATTGTTCTTCCACCGTGTTCACTGTCAGAATTTAAAGCTCTTACTCAGACTATCATCAAGTTATTCAGTCCCTACTTCTTGGCCACTGAATGAAAAAATACAAGTACCATACATTAACTTAAAATTCATAAAATACTTTTGTCCTGTTTTGTATTTCACGTATAATGAATTTAATAACACAAGGAAGCAGCCTCATCTAAAGTCAGAATGGGCAGAAAAGCTTTGCGGAAGGTCCAAAATAAACCTTCATGACTACATAGCCCAGTATGGTTTGTGTCCAGTTGTCCCCTCAAAGCCTCATGCAGTCATGGGGCGGACTTCTAGACTTTGTGATGAGCTCATGATCCACTGGGATTATGGTTTGAGTGCTATCCCTGGCCTGGGGCAGACAGCCTGCATGCTACGTAAGGGAGACGGACTTGCTCTCTTGCTCTTTGCCACCATCATGCTCTTTGCTATGTGCCACTCTGCCTTGGAGCCAGCTGAGTATGGACTGAAACTCTACTGGAAGGGTGATAAGCCTTTCCTTCCTTCATTTTGGATGTCGGTTATTTTGTCCCAGCAACAAGAGTAACCGAGACAACCCCAAAGTCATCTACAAACTAATTAGAAGGTAAATATAGATGGAAGTATCAAGTTCGATAGAAAAATATATTGGTCTCTTTCCTGTCACCAGGACAAAATATCTGACACCCTCAAACTAGAGAACAAGTTTTTTTTTTTTTTTTTTTTGGTGAAACTGGGGATTGAACTCAGGCTCCTTATTCTACAAAACCACCTCCCTGGCCCCAAGGGGTTTATTTTGGCTATTTTCAGAAGATTCATGCTTGGTTGACTCCAAGGCACAAAAGGCAGAGCAGAGGAGCACAGCAGAGGAACACTGCTCAAGCCAGGCCAGGAAGCAGAACAAAGGGAAGAGCTCTGGGCAGAGACTTGCTTCCAGGGCAGCCCCAGCGATCGGCCTCCAGACAGGGCCCCTGGCCGACAGCACACCCAACTGTGCGACACATGAAGATTCTTGTGCTGAGCACAGCACCATGTTCCAACGACAGATCTACCCCAGAACAGAGACCCTCCTAAGCCAGGGAATTCAAGGGAGCACTAGAAGAGATAAGGCTGCACTTACGCTGCGGTGAGCACATTTATGACTTGAGCACAGGACAGCATACATTTCATCAATGACTCCACTAAGGAGCCTCCGCTCCTGTTTTGCAATCTGGACTTGCCTCTAACATGAATGAGAAAAGACCTGCACAAGTCATAAGGATGCTGGAAAGAGGGAGATACCTGCGCAAACAACTTCAGAAAATCTTCCTTTAAAAACAAAAACTTAATGAGTCTCCAAGATTAGCAAAATTCTGCCTTCTAAAAATGCAGATTGAGTGGTACATTTTTCAATTCAATTCAATTCAATTCAATGTTTTTATGAACCTATTCAGCCTCAACTTTCCTAATTGCTGGCCACTGCATTAGATAAAAGCCAAAAGCAGGACAGCAGAGCTCATTTCCCAGGCCCTGTGCTTCTGTCAGCTGGTTTAGGCCACCAGCTACTAGCGACTATTCGAGCAACGAGGGTGAATGTTTTAGAACCTTCAAAGATATTGTCAACTGCAGCACACACACGACAGGCTCACCACCACTGCACAAGAACCACCAGTGCCTCAGTTCTTGTCCTTGTGCCTGGATGGTGCTAAGAAATGAAGCCTTCTTTTGAGGCAGCACTGGGCATCAATGACAGCTTTGTGCTTGGCATGCAGGAGCACAAGGTCCTCAGTTTAAAGGACACTTTTAGGAACTGTTCAAACTTTTACTTGTGAAAGTACATGTGCATAAATTTGTACATTAAATTACTTTATACAGTAGGTAATTCTAAAGTGCAAATAATCAAATGATCTTCAAATATAATTGGTTTTTTTTATACCCAGAGTAGTAAAAAATGAGGAACCTACTTGCTGGTACTTCAGCTTACCTCATCTGCCTTTGCTTGCATACGTTTCCTTTCCTGTTCTTCTTCATGCAGTTTTGCTTCCAATTCTTGCATTTTTTTCTAGAGATAAAAATATCAGAAAGGATGAACGAGAAGTGTCAGTTAGTGTAACAACAAAGGAACCTGTTGTATTTTTAAACAGGGTGAATCTGGGCTTCTTAAATCTATCTGGTCATGCCTCTGGGCCTAAGCCCACAAACGACACTTTCCTCTGTGATCAGTAACAGCCACTGAGGATGTTTACCTCTTATGCTAAGGTAAATCTGCAATCAGCGGTACTAAGTGCTTCGCAAGTGCTAGAGTTCAAACTATGATTAATTCTAATAACAACTTAAAACAAGTAATGCAAGCTTCAAGAATACTCAGAACCATTTTATTTTCAAAAAATAACTCCCTTACGACCCCTAAGACTATAAAATGTGAAAATCCTTCAAATTCTTTGCATTTTAAAAGTTTCTATGTATGTTCCTTTTATTAGATTGACTTTACTGCTATAAATATTCAGGGATGCAAAATTGATTTCAAAAACTGCACATCACATCACTCTGCACTAACGCGTGAAGGACACATACTGACCTCGGCGAGGGCCTGCATCGTGGTAAGCTTGTTATACTCTTGCTCAAGGAGGTCCAGCTTTACAAGCTGACTCTGAACATGTGTTTGATCATGCTGCCGTTCTCTTTCTAGGGTCACCTAGGAGACAAGATGGCACAGTAATTTAACACTCAAAACTTTGAAGTTACTATAAATGCATGTTTCTTAGGCTTCCCTATATTACTTACCTGGCCTTTCAAAGAACTGCTGTAATAGGGAAAGGAGCTCTAGATTATGAATTACAACCACAAGGGCGTTAATACATGATAGGTTTAATGGATACTGTCTTTACTGTATACTGTGTTTGACACAACTTGACCTCATATGGTAAGAGTCTCTTGGTGCCCTGGAATAGCAGCAAGCCATTGGACATAAAGGCTTTATAAGCACAGAAATATTTTCAGTTAGTCTGGTCCTTTAAGATAGTTATTTCCAGGCTGGCCAACTAGCTCAGTGGATAGGAGCTGGGAGTTCGGAAGTCGATCACCGGGCCTGCCATGTGGAGCCTGCTGAGAAGAGAATTGCGACTGGGCATGGTGGTGCACGCCTGTAATCCCAGCTCTTGGGAGTCTGTAAACAGGCGCATTACCACGCGTCCGATCTAGCAGTGAGACCCTAAACACCCTGTAGACCCTTCCCTAAAATAAAAAAATAAAAAATAAATAAAGAAAATACTTACTTCCCGACTGTAGTGTTTTGTGTTTATCTGTTATACAAGCTGTTCTTTAAAAGACAGGGTCCTCTGTGAGCAGGCTGGCCTGTACTTCTCTTGACAGCTTAGCAATGGCCTTGGACTCTGACTTCTCCTACCTCACTCTCCAGTGTTCGCATAAGCATGTGCCTGCATGCCTGCAACATTTTTATTTCTGTTTCTTCAAATTTAGGGCAAACAATTTAAAAGTCTACCTTTTGTACACACTCAGACTGGCAGTCATAGGAAAAACATAAAAACAGACTAAAAAGTGGAAAAATACATTAAGATCTAAAAGAAAAAGCCAAAACACTAAGTATCTGAACTTCTAAATATAGTATCTTCATATGTGCCTACAGTACTAATCAATACTAAAAGAACCTTCAATGAGAAAATAATACTAAATGATAATTTTATCATAAGTCAGTGTAAGCTCCCAATTCCTCTCTATTCACTCCAGTGCAGGCACAGTGTGTGAAGCATGTGCGAACTTGTTCCAAGTGTTGGTGCCGCTCCTATTAAACTACCATACTAAACATACTAATTAAATCTTACTGATGAACCAAGGAGTACAATCCAGACATCTACTATCTTCATCCAATAGCTGTTTACTACATGTATTAGTCAAGGTATTTTACAATTGTCTCAAAAAACTGATGCTTCTTTGCTTATTGACCCATTCAAGAAATGTGACAAAATACAGCAATAATTATACAGAAAATTTGAAAGCAATAAACCAAATTTCATTATTCAAAAAAGGTAACAGAACCAAAAGCAAACGGAGGGGTGCTAAAGTCAAACATTACATGAGGCACTACTGAATATTTCATATGTAAGATGTACAGGAAGACAAATAAGATCTCAGGCAACATATCAGCTACAACAAGGAAAGAATACCAAGGATGATAGCACATAAATGTGGACTAAAACCAGTGAAAACCACCATGCATCAGCGAACAAAAATTCACACCTGCCTTACAAGTCTGAGTACACAATTTATGATGTATGAAACTTTCAACATGAAACAAAATGATTAACTTTGAAAACAATTTTTTTTAGATAGCTCATAGTGCTGACAGAGGTAAAAGAATGAAAGAATATACTGAAATAAAAACGTGGGTGGAAAAAGACCCAATTAAACAAAAATGTGGTCACTGTAATTAAACTCAATGGCATAGTGAAGAGACAGACAAAGTGTTTATTGTTTATAGACATTTCTTCATAGACAACATGCTGTATGATTGTTCAGGTATTTAAGTGTGATCTCTTCAACTAGAACTGAAAGATAACTGAGCTTAGAAAGCATCAGTAGCACCTCTCTTATACAGCAGGGTACCTACGATGTTAAGCATATCAATTTTTGCATAAAGTTAAGATGTCCAGAATTATAGCTTATGGTGAATTTAAATTCTACAGTTACAGTAGGAAAAGGATGCTTTAAAAACATACTGGAGACTAATGCTGCAAATGCCATTTTAGAAATGTACAAGTTACTTAAATACCAAGACCTCTGGTGTAACAACAGAAACATATTTAGTTAAAATAACAATTATAAGGGCTAGGGAGATAGCTCAGTAGAATAAGTGTCTGCCTGACAAGCACAGAGTCCTGAGTTCAATCCCCGGACTGCAAAAAAAAAAAGTATACATAGCTTTACAAAGAACTGTTAACATCTTTACTCTATCTCAAACCTTCAAAACAAATTAAAGAGGTACAGAGGCATATAATGACAACTTACATGTGTTTGATAATTCAGACTTAAGGATGTTAATTTTAAAATGCCTCATAACTACTTTTCCATTGAAATAAAATTCTACCAAATACCCTAACGAAGAGCTAACTCCACAAAGGAGCCCAAGGACGCCTAGCCCTGGGGTACTGGAGTAGCAGTAGGCCCTTGGAGAGGAGAAGGGTCTTTACTTCAGTAAGCAGTCTCAGAGAGCTGCTGGGTGCCGGCCTGCGAGTCCATACCTGCTTCTCTAAGACAGAAGCTCTCTCCATCTCTGCGTGCTTGATCATATTCCGCATGTACTCCACTTGTTTTTCTAAAAGATTACATTTATTTTCTGCAGCAAGCAACTGAGATGTTAGTTCTAGAATGGATACATGAAGAAAAGCAGAAATCAGTTCACCCACAGAATAGTTTTTACATTTATTTTCTGCATTTTCATTTATGTATTTGGTACAGGTTCTCACTATGCAGCTCAGACTCGTAGCCATCCTATCTCAGCCTCCCGGGTGCTGAAATTACAGGCATGTGCCGCCACGCCCGTACTCGGTCGCTGGCTCAGTGCATCCTGGGATTGAACCCTGGTCCCTGCGCTTGCCAAAGCAGCAGCACTATCTTGCTGGCCCTTCAGTTTTAATGACAAATTCAATTTAAAATACACACAATGTAAACAGTATATTCCAGTAGTGCTGGAAGCCTTTTTAAATCACCTAAATCATTCCCTTTCTACATAATAGAACATACCACACAGCCAGTAAATGTAGCTTGCTCCTTAAACTACACCTGAGCATAATACAAGTTTGTAATGCCTGATGATAGTTTCTGAATAATTTTCCAGTTCATATTTTGATAGAATTTTGCTCATAATTAAACAAACCTTGATTATGCTTTGATTCTTCATTCTTTGAATTCTCCCTTTCTTGTATCTGTTCATCTAGCACTTTTTTATATTCAATTGTTTCTCTAGACAAAGTTTTCACACTTTCTTCTGCCTGAATCCTCTCAAGTTCCAAGCGCCGAATCTTATCTTGAAGATTCTTCAGAGCAGAAAATATGGCTGCCAAATACATAATAGGTACTGTAAGATAACAACATGTACAGAAAATTCACTGAAAAACTAAAATTGATGTGTAGGTACAGTGAAAGATCGTTCTTTGGAACACTAACTTTTATTTACATATAGACTTTAATAACTGCATAATCAAACACGGAAAGAACTTTAATATTTTTCATTATTTAGAAAAAAAAGCAGTCTCTATCCTATCCCTTGAAAGGTTATAATTCTAGAATACATATTTATTAAAAAAAAAAAATGTAGGAGACACAAAACACACTAAAGAAAGCCACCAATAACCCTGTATGACCCAGAGACAATGGTTGTCATCTTGGCTCTTTAGATCTTTTCATAAATGTGCAAACTAAAAAAAAAAGTATGTAGGTTTTGTTTATTTCAGCATTATTAAACAAGAATCACATAATCATACAGTTTTAAAAATTATTTCCTAATAACTAAAAATTTGAAAATAAATGGTCAGATGATTAAACCATTTTATTTTAAACATCCCTGAAACAGTACTTCCAAGTTGCATCCATTTATACTTTCATTAGAAGTACCTATCTTTGTGAACACAGACTACTAGTTACAAGAATCTCTTGTCATTCTGAAAAGATGCTACTTCTAGTTGTTTGGTACTTCTGTTAAAGTGTCAACTATCAAAAAGCAACTTTAAGGGCCAGCTAAATAGCTCAGCAGAGGCCAGGGGTGATCCCCAGGCCTGCTGTGCTGGCCCCGCCCCTGGGGCACACTGAGACAGCGATTGAGACTAGGTGTGGTGGTGCACACCTGTAATCCCAGCTCTTGGGAGGCTGTAAACAGGCGGATCACTTGAGTCCCAGTGAGACCCTGAACATGCTGTAGACCCTTCCTTTTCAAATATGCAAACAAAAAAAAGCAACTTTATAATGAAGAAAAACTTCAATTTATCATAAACCTAATTCACTTATGTATCAATATATATATAATAATCTATACACATTTCCAAAAATGTTTTAGAACTTTCTGTTGTTTTAGTAATATTATGCAAGTATTTTTATCAAAACTTCAGTAACATCAATTTTGCCACAAAGTCCATATTATATAAATTCTAAAACATTTTAAACTACTTTTTAATCAATTATTCAGAACCATTCTCCTTAAATACAAATTTAAATGAAATTTCATGCAAACTATATAGGAGGAGGTGCCATCAAAAATTCTAAGAAACTAGTTTTCTTATTCTTCGCAAGACATGTTTTTCTACTTATTGATAAAATTTATTCATTCAATGATTTTCTTAATGCTGGAAATATGACAAGTCCCATGTTTGATACTGATACATTTTATAACATAGTCATCTTACTCTGGTATGCAATGACATACAAGCTAACTGGAAAGAATGCATACATGAAATACATATACACATACCTAGGAACCTGCAAAATCAACCAAAAAAAAAAAAAAAAAGAAACAACAACATGAGAACAGAACAGCTGCCTAGAGTAAGATTAATGTTCTTTCACATCTATCCGATTTAACCATATCTAAACCTCTGGGACAGATGCATTTTTTTAATTTTTTTTATTTATTTTTATTTTTTTAAGTTTTACTATGTAGATATGGCACATAGCTCTGGAACTGTTCTCTTGGTTTATACACAGCTTCTTCTGGGAATTCCTCCTTGTAATATCGTAACTAAAACTTGAATGATTCTTTTTTAACCTTTTCACAAATCTGACTATTTGACACAAAAAAGACATACAAATAAAGCCCCAAATGGCTGTCTTGATCAAAATGTATTCAACAGCCATGTTTCCTACCCTGTGTGAGTGAGAGAGCTGGTCAGAAGCGACAGAGAATGCAACTAGTTAAAAGCAGAAAATAATCAGAAAGCACTGGCTACCGTGAATCTCTGGTCCCAAGGACTAAAAACTGTATGTATACCTGTCCTTCCCTTCTTGGCTGTTCAATCTTCCCGTGGAGGTCTGTAAATGAGGAAAACACTTCCTCAACAAAGCTAGTGCACTTGGGACCTTTCTATCACAGTTGACTAAACTTTCAGAAACTGTACCTTGTTTTCCAAGCTTAAAAAAAATGAGAAATAGATAATAATTTTATTCTACCAATAGAAAACATTTATTTCACCCCTTTATTTATTAATTTTTTTTGGGGGGGATGTCTCAAGGAAGGGTCTACAAGATGTTCAGGGTCTCACTACTAGACGGGACTAGCCTGTTTACAGCCTCGTAACAGCTGGGATTACATGCCACCACGCCCAGTCTCAAGCGCCCTGGCAACAGGCCTAAGGATTAAACCCCTGGTCCCTGCTTGTATTTCTAACAAACTTGTCTATTTTAAGATGAACAGTCCGGGTGATCAAGTAATGGATTTTACACCTTTACCTCCCCAAAATGGTATGTAAGCTATTCCATTTGCTTCCTGTCTATTGCCTTCTCTTCTATGAGGTTAGAACCACTGCGCCATATATATATATATATATATATATATATATATATATATATATATATATTTCTATTGCTTACAAAAAAACTGTAGAATGACATATATTCCTGGTGAAAATGAACAAGAACAATTCAAAGATTTTAAATTTGTACACTGGAAAGAGAAAATGTATTTGTAGAAAAAGAAACAAACTCCTAAATATTTGCTGAAAGAGGAAAAAAAAGTGTAAAATATAAAACCATGACCATTTCTCTTCCTGAATACTCTGAGCACACACTATATGCAACCTTGTCTCCTCCATATTATGCACAGTATTTGTGAACACATCTATTCAGGGTACAATACATTTGGTTAGTAACATGTGAGAATACAAACACAAGAAAACTACAGAAATGAAAGAATATGCTGGCTGGGGAGGGCTCCGTAGCTTCCCTGGCAAGCACAAGGGCCTGAGTTCAATCCCCAGTTCCACCAAAAAAAAAAAAGAAAGAAAGAAAGAATATGCTGTTTTCCTTAAGTAACACAGTGGTGCCATGGTACTTGTCATTAATTATTCTGGGAAGGCAAAAATACCAAAAATGATGAGCAACGAATTGCTCTGGCTGGAAAGACAGTGCGTCACTGAACAATGCACCCCAACAACCTGTAGCTTGCATGTGAAGTACGAAAAAGACAGATGAGAACAGGGACAGCAAGCACCAAAAAAGCAATTCCCACAAAAACTAATGCACTGCAAATATGTACCATAGCAACAACAACAACAAAAATTTTCTTAAAAGTATCTGTACCAAGGTCTAACGGTACTCAACTTTCTCTGGAACATGAGTTCCTGGTCAGAAGGAAACAATATGATGTAAACTTCAATCTAACAAAACATAGAGATAAGGGGCTAAGGTGGAGTTAACAGTCAAAATGTCTCTGCCAGCAAGGAGCTATCATGCAGATTCCAGAACAGAAGTAAAAGTATTTACAAGAACAAAGCAGCGTTCTGGGTGTTCTCATTGCTTATTACTGTGATTTTCAAAGTGGGAGGGACAGGCCCAGAGCGGGCCGCATTCCTGAGACAACTCCCAGGCTCTATTGAGCTCAATATGTTCCCAATACTAACTAGCAAGGCTCTTTGGCTCTTTTTGTTGTAGACAACTGAAATGACATACAAGTGCCTTTTATTAGTGTGTAACAAAATGGGATATACCAAAGGACAACAGCACCCATTAAGAACTTGCACAGATGTTCCAATAGTGATCTTGAACCAAAACCATTTCCTTCACAGAATGTAATTTTATTACAAAGCACTTCTGATAAACCAAGCATATTGCGCTGGAAGTCTTTTTTCCCAAAAATGGAAAAAGCAAGCCTGTTAAAGATCCTATAGTACATGCTGCGAGTGAGGGCCAAACCTATCTCTGGCAGTTTTGAGAGGGCTGGGGATGGCAGCCAGGTGTGGCTGTTGACAAGAGCAGACAGGGCACCTCACCAGCCCACAGGATACACGAGGTGGTGATGGGTGCACAGAACAACAGACACTGAAAGCCTCTGGATGACGTGTCACTGACAGGTCCCACTCAGCGGGAAAGGCAGGGCAGACCTAGCACTCCAATAGCCTGTAAAATGGGTGTAAAAACACAACAGGCGCCAGCTACTCACTGGTTCTCTCCACACCTTGTGGATCTCAACACTACATGTCCTGGAAAGAAGCTTTACCCTTTAGACACCTCAGGGCTGAGGAATATTTTTGGACTAATTTTTTGTCTCTACTTTGGCACTTTTCCCCCTTCTTTTTCTTGTTTTGTCCTATTTTACCTGGTTTTGGTTTTTTTCCCCATGAGTAAGACAAACTTTATAGGAAACTGAAAATTGAGAAGACTGAGATATTTCCTGGTAAAACATACATAGAACACGTAATTGAGTATTTATGAATTGAGGTTATTTTAAGTTCCTATAACGACATATATTTATTCTAATCCCCTCCTACCTTCTCTTAGACATCTCTGCATTTGCCAGAAATCTCCCCCTTGTCTCCTATCTGTATCTCTTATTGGGTTCTTTGTATTTTGCCTTCATCAAGTGAGAGCTCCAGAGCTGGGGAGATAGCATGGTGGTCGGTACCACATGCCCGGCCCAGCCTGCCCTGCCACAGGCACACTGTGCTGGCCACGAAAACAAGCATGGCAGTGTACTCCTGTAATGCCAGCGCTGGGGAGGCTGAGACAGGAGGATCTAAGCTGTGTAGGGAGATCCTGCACCAAATACATAAGTAAAATAAAAGATTACAAAAAAAAAAAAAAAAAATCAAATGAGAGTGCCTATAATGGTTTTTAAGCTTGGGTCTGATTTATTTCACTCAACATTTTCTTTTCCAGATTCATCAGTTTTTCTGCAAGCAGCTCAGACTGGCCCTTCCTGGGAGTACTCCATTGTGTATAGCTAGGAATGAGCGCAGAGGCAGAATGCCCCAGACCCTTCACTGAGGAGCACAGCCCCCTCTGCTAACTCTTCTAGTTTGAGACTTGAATGGCTCTAAGCACAGGACCCAGATGAGCTCAGTCAGACTTCTGACCTATTCACCACTGTGACACATGAAATATGTTACTTAAAGCTGCTTAATTTGTGGAGTTTTGTTGAGGCAACATGACAACTAATTTAAATGCTAAGTTTATTCCTAGCACAAAAAATGTTTCAAACTAGTCAGAGCAAAGAACATACGGGCAAGGAAGTAAAGGTTAGAGATGAAGTTATTAAGACAAATGGAAGTAAGTCGTGGGAAATCTAAGACACTGTGATGTGAGACACAGAAGGGAATTGAAACTGCTTAAAGACAGACAGAACAGACAATGACAAACAGCAGCAACATTAACTAGTGCCTTAGTTACTTTTTTGTTGCTGGAACCCAACATCTGACACCCAAACTCAGAGGAGGAAAGGTTTAGTTTGGTTCACAGTTTGGTAGAGGTAGCAGTCCAGTCAGCTGGCTCAAGGAAGGGAGGTAAGATAGATGAAAGTTCAAGGCATAGTAGGTATAGCTAAATACTTTAGAACATAACAGACAAGATAGCCCAAGGGTGCCAGAAGAACTAGCAGGATTCCAGCCTTTCCACTGAGAAGACAGCCCCCGGGCACCATGTTCCAGAATGGTGGTGACCCAGGGAAGTTGTTCCTCACGATTGGATTCACAGCACTCAGCAATCCAGACATTCAACCCCTACAGCCAAGACAAGGAAGCCTGGTTACTGCTCCAGCTGGCCGGAAACCTTGACATCATCCACTTTGCGCTGGTGTAAGGCAAAAGTTGTTGAGATTAGGAAGGCTTTCATGCAGAGTTTAGAAGGTGGTCCAACAAGCCAGGCAGTGAAGTTGAAGTTGCAGTGGAGACCTCTGAAGGCTAGAGGAGCCAGAAACATGGACTGTCTGCAGAAAGTCAGAAGGACTGAGCAAAGCTGGCCCAAGACAGAAGCCATGAGAGCTGCAACCACTGGCAGAGCTATAGGGGCAGAGCCACCCAAACCCTTTGGAGTTCATATCTTGTTGCAGATTGTCCTGGCTTCTACACAAGGAGCAGTAGGACTTAAATGTTGGCCCTGCCGGACTTTGGTCTTGTTTTGGTCTCATTCCTTCATTTCCCTACTTAGAATGAGAATGTCTGTCTTGGCCATGGACAGTTTCTCCTCTGCCATGCCACCCTGCCCTAGAACTAGAGGACTGTGGACTGAAATCTCTACAAACCATGCATTAAACTTTTTCCATTTTACCTTGTGCATGTCAGGTATTTTGTCCCAGCAACAAGGAAGTAACTAAGATAACAGGATGAGACCCACATAGCGGGTAGGGAGTATATCACAACATATTATTAGATGAGAATACATTATGACATATAGGTAACATTTGATGAGAACTAAAACAAACGAAAAAAGACAAAAACAATATCGTGTTGAAATTTTATAGAAGTAAAAACACATTCTTGGTTCCTGTTTGAAGTCAGATATGACACCTGGTACAGGTGATTCAAGATTGTTCAGTGGATGATAATGTTCCCCAATCAATATAAGGGACACAATAAAATCATTGTATTTTGAGGTTAGAAACAGAAGTGAGAAAAAGATATTCTAATTCCAAAGTTAGAATAAAATTAAAACTTTCAAAGAAATGAGTAAACAGATCATACTCGTTTTGTTAGGGTCTGTTTACCTCTGCTGTTGCTTTCTGGATAAGCAAATGTAGGCTTATTTGGGGAGCGACGGAGTTCACTATTAAGGAAAGGTTTATCAGTTGGATATAACACATATGGAGATGAAGAACGATGAACAATATTTCCATTAGATTTCGATGGTTCAGCTAAGACATTCTGAAAAATAAAAACATAAGCACTGTATTAATTTTCAAAAATGTAAACCACAAATATTCATGACGCATTTGGTCTATGTTTCTCTGATAAGGGACAATAAAGGGAATCTACTTGCTACATACTATAAAATTCATTATAATGAAGAAACATTTATACTGATAAAATATAACTCATGTTTCCTTTGACACAGTGTCACACTGACAGGCTTGACCTCAAATTCACAGTCTTTGTGCCTCAGCCTCCCAAGTGCTAGGATTGCAGGTGTAAGCTGCAACCCAGACCTCACTAGAAGTTTTAGAGAATTTGAGTTTCACAGGACGTTAAAGCAACATGCAACTCAAGACTTACACGACTACTTTAAAAACAGATAAAGAAGGAACCTGGAATCTACTCATTTTATGAAGAGTCTCTGATCCTAAAACTAGATTTCAATGTTAGAAACACCATAGGACATTATTTCCTCAGAAACCAATCTATCCTAAACAAAAAAACTACCAAACCACAGCAACTACATAAAAAAGATAAAAAATGTGATCAGCGAGGTTACTCTAATAATGCAAGCCTAGATGATCATTGCAAATTTTTTTTTTTTTTTTTTTTGGCGGCACCAGGGATTGAACTCAGGCCCTTGCTCTTGCCAGGGAAATGCTTATTTCACTGAGCCATCTCCCCGGCCCCCACTGCAATATTTTTAATGTAATCTATTGAAGTAAAAATCGGTATGATCACTAAGAAACATGAATGCACATCCAGTAACATTCAATATTCAGTAAAGGTCAATTTTCTTGTAACACTATGACAGTATTAAAAAAAAAAAAAAAAAAAAAAAAAAGGCAATAGCTCAACAGATTAAAGCACCTGCAAGCAGGTGCGGGGCTGGGAGTTCGATCACCGGGGCTGCAGTGCTGGGCCATCACTGAGACTGCAATTGAGATTGGGCGTGGTGGCGCACGCCTGTAATACCAGTTCTTGGGAGGCTGTAAACAGGCGGATCACTAACAGTCTAACCTAGTAGTGAGACCCTGAACACCCTGTAGACCCTTCCCTAAAATACATACATACACACACACTCTTTTTTTTTTTAAACTATTTATTTATTTATTTATTTAGTGTGTGGCCAGCTCAGCCCACCAGGGGGCGGGGCTGGCTGGTATGTGGTGCTGGGGGATTGAACCAGGGTCCCTGTGCTTTGCTTAGCTTAGCTTGTTCTAAGTAGGTGCTTTAGACCACTGAGCCATCTCACCAGCACACACACACTCTTAATGGTAATAATTTTAAACATTCCTTTTTTTTTTTTTTTGGTCTTTTTTTTTTCATTTAGATAGGGGATTTTTGTTTTTGTATAACTTATCTAATTAAAATATTCACCTTTGTAGTTACGAGAAAAAGGTAACATAGAAACTGTATTTATATCTTAGAACCAAAATACAAATGAAGAGCGGGACAACACCTTGCTCCTTCCCCTACCACCTCCAAAAAATAAAGAAAAGCCCCAAAGAACCTGCTTGTCAAACCGGGAATCATAAAGGGCTCATCTGTAATTTGGTGACTTTGTAGTGTAGCACAGAAACACTGCGCAAGGCTTCACAAATGAGACCCAAGGGTCCACATCACCTATGCTCCTCTGCAGCCCCTCCACTGAGCTGGTGAGCTCTCTAGAACTGGAGGTTAGCCCCACTCGCCTCACAAACAGCAGAAGTTCAGAGGGAGACAGAAGAGCTGGCTCCGAGCCAACAGGGTTCAGCAGAAATCTTTGTGTGTCCAAAGTGGAAACTGATGTTGGGATGGACAGATTTGTATCTTCTCTTCTTTTCCCACTTCAAGACTTCTAGTAAGGGGATTTAAATCATATGCAACTAAACCTTAAGTAGGAAAAACTGGTTCAACGGCCAAGAACTGGAGCCATCGCTAGGAGCCAGCCAGCCAGCCAGCCAGAAGAAGCTATTCCAGGCAGCAGGTGCCCATTTAGTTTCAGGCTTTCAATATTAGATCTGGGGTCTGGGCTACAGGATATGGGTAGAGCAAGCCACATCGAGAAAGAATGTGTCTCGGTTACATTTCCTTAGTTGCTGGGACAAAATACCCAACACCCCAAATTGAGGAAGGAAAAGTGTTTTTTTTTTTTTTTGGCGGGGGGAAGGTTTAATTTGGCTTAGTTTGTGGAGGTTTCGTCCATACTCAGCTGGCTCCAAGGCACAGTGGCACATGGCAGAGGGCAGCAGCTGATGGCAACAGAAAATAGCAGGAGCAAAAAGGGAAGAGCAGCAACTGAGGCAGTACTAGAGTACTAAGCAAGCCTCTCTCCCTTCCACACTGCATTCAGGCTACCTGCCCCATGGTGGGTGTAGTACTCATATCTATAATCCCCACAGCTCTTACACCCACATAACCCCAGCACTAGACCATGAAGCACAACCTCTAGAAGTCCACCCCATCACAGCATGAGGCTTTAGGGGGACAACTAGACACAAACCATGTTTTATCCAATTCAAAAATATTGCAAAATAAAGCACAGCAATACTTGTGTCCCAGTGCAATAGGCACCCTGCAAGCAACAGACAGAGGAATGCAGAGCCTGTGGTGTTTTGGGTTTTTCAAGCTTGGCGTAGTCAGGTCTCCAGGATGGGGACAACAGTGGCCTCCAGATTCTTCCCCTGAGGAGCATGCAGAGGTGCTCTTGGCCCAGTTCAGCAGGCCATCAACCCCACCAGCCACCTGTGCCCTTGAGTCTGCTCTGCAGGTCTCTACAGCAGCACACCTCAGAGCCATAGCATCTGTGTCCTAAAATGAAGAGGTGGGCAACTCCATGCTCACCTCCTAGCCTGCACACAAGAGTGACGACAAGAAATAGAAGATACTACAACTGAAAGGGGGACTAAACTACATAGGCTATAACTGTCTAAGCAAAAAACATTGAAGAACCTTCAATTAACTTTAATTGGAGACTGGCAAGGTTGCTGGGTAAAATCATGCCAAAATCACTAATTCTTATGGACTACTTAGAAAACTGAATTCAGGAAAATAAAACCATACAATAAAAGTAAAAACCAATAAAAATTAATAACCACAGGTTGGAAAATAATTGCCTTCTCCAAACTAAGCCAAAAGGAGTATTAGTAAGATATAATGGGTATCTACTTAGAAACAAACACAAAAACGGGACAAGAACACAGCAAAATACCCATACACACATGGAAATTAATATATTGATAAAATTATAAACCACTGGGGCAAGGATGTTTTCAAAGAGTAGTGTTTTGACAGTTTATTGTAAATAAATTGCACAGAATAAATTAATGCCAAGTAAACTAAGCATTTTAAGTTTTCAAATTTAGAAAGTCTGTAGAGAAAAATTTAGAATATGGTACTCAAGACCTTGGAGAGGAAAATTTTCTTAACTAATTGCAGAAAGGGAAAACTAACAATGTTAAAACTTACTATGCTAAAATTAGAAATCTTATTAATCAAAAAATAAAAAGACAAGCCACAGTTCATTTGAAATAATCATAATGGACTGAAAACTAACATCCAGAATACATCAATATATATAACTCATTCACAAAAGGCAATCCAAGTAAGAAACAGGCAACAGACATGAAGTCTTTCAAACAAACAAACAATAGTAAAGATCTAGAAAAAGGGTACATCCTCATCATTGATTAGGGGAACACCAATTAGAAAATGTACCAAAAAAGATTACAAGAGCCTTGCCTGTGCTTGTAATTGCCCTGCTTGTGCTTCTATGCAGCATTAATTTTCACCTATAGGGGAGCTGATAAACAGCAAACACCACCTGCTGTTATTGTAGGAAAGAACTCTAAAAACACAAACTGAAAACTTACTGCTCTCCATGTTCACATTTGAGATTTACAGTACACTGTAAGTTGGTTCCTAAAGACTTTTATGTATACACTTGTTCTAAAAATCCTTCTGTGATAAAAACATCACCATTTACTGTAACTAACTCCATGCTGGGTTTACCAATGTGGAATATACGAGTTGCTAATGTTCACAAAACTGAATCTAAATATTAAGTTCATGTAATAGTTTTAAGTCTCATGTATGACAACTGTTAACCTAATTAATTTTTAAATTCTACTTGAAATAGCAGGCTTATTTCTTCCTCTTTTTTTTTTAAAATCTGCCCTCTCTGCATTTTATTTATTTATATTTATTTATTTATTTTTTTTTTTTGACGGAACTGGGGATTGAACTCAGGTATTTCTTCTTTCTTTGAGGCAGGGTCTCACTACGTAGGGCAGGCTGGCCTTGAACTTGCCTGTGGAGCTCAGGTTGGCCTCGTACTCAAGAGATCCTCCAGCCTCAGCCAGTGCTGGGATTACCTGCAAGCCCCCACCCTTATCTAAGGAGAGCCATTTCTGACAGAAACAAAATAGCCAAAACATGGTCATTTTTGTTTTGAGAAACAGCAGCTTCCAACTTACACATTTCATGTATCACGTCAAGGTGATTAAGAAGATACCTTGTTTTGTAAGTTTCAGATATTCTTAGTGAACAAATAATATTTAGAATTCACTTACCGAATTTAGTGCACAAAAACCTGTATACTCTTTCTTCGTAAACACTGTCTGAGCTTTCTGTTGAAGCTACCATAAGACTAACGCCTGACTGCATCCCAGAGGCACAGCTCTCCTCAACTCCACACGAAGCATTCACTGCTAGGTCTCCAAGTGCTAAATTCTGAAAGCACAAAAACCCTCCTCCGGCAGTGTACTCACTGCATGTCCATCCACCCACTCAATACCTGTTCTGCAGTTCCTCCTTACGTCTTACTGCTGTTGACCTAATTCCTGCAGGAACCCCACCGGCTTCCATCAGTTACTTCTCTGTCTCCTCAGCTCTTTGCACACTTGTTGCCCTCCTTCCCCGGACACCCTGTAATACTTCTGGCTGCATCATCACAAGCACCTAACCTCGAACTGCAGCAAGCGCGACTTCCCAGGCGACTGCGCTCCCTTACTCTATCCTACTGCATCTCCTTGCTCACTCCGTTTTCACCTAGTTTCCAGGTAACAACCTCTTTATTTCCTTACTACTGCTACCTGCTACCTCAGCACAAGACCGCAAACGCTTGAGACACTCACTTTCTCCTCGCGGCAACTGTCACATCTTACAAGGGCAGTCCGACCCATCTTCCTGCTAGGAAACCTCTACCCAGCCAAGCCAAGCGCTGCTAACCGCCCGGATCACTTCAGGGGCAGCGGCAGCTGGAGCTGGCCAGCCCAGCAGAAGTTACTTAATAACGGGCGCTTGGCAGCGCCTGGCTGCCGCGGCCGCGGGGCAGGATTTCTACCCTATTCACGCAGGTGGCTTCGGAGCCCAACCGTCGGTGGACGACCAGCTCCAACTTCAGCTGTCATGCACGTATCTCTTCTCAGGGCGGCATTCTCCAGTTTGACACTCCAATATCACACGAGCCGGGGACTAAACGCACGGGGCCCCCTCGAGGAAGCAGTATTCACACAACCCTCCCCCGACACACACACCCCGCCGCCTCTCCAAAAGGCCACCTCAGCGCTGCGCGAAGCGCGGCTGCAGCCGCTGGAACCGGCAGTAATAGGAGTGACGGCAGAGGGCCCCGCAGGGGCAGACCGGCGAGTAAAATGCGCTCTGGAGCCCGCCGGCGACCCGGCGGCTGCCCAGTGAACCAGCGCGCCAAACACCTGGTCCCGGGGGGCCGCGTCCCTGGAGCCCAGAGCCGCGACCAGCCCGGGCCCGGGCTGGCAGC